TCTCAAACCCTTTCTTCCCAACACTTCTCCCTCACACTGTCATGTCTTTTTGTTTGTTTATGGCCCAGTACCTTTAATTAGTAGGTACTATAATTCATTTAGATTTAATTAAGAAGGGAGATTTTTAACAATTCAAGTAATTGTGAATTCTAATTGAAATTTTTTTTTAGGTTAAGTGCTATATATGGAGGTACCTACATGTTGAATAAACCAATTGAAGAAATCATTGTGCAAAATGGAAAAGTGGTTGGTGTAAAGTCTGAAGGAGAGGTAACTATTCTTGTGAATAAAATATACTGTCTGCTAGGTACTTAATCTGATGTGGACATTGATATTATGTCCTGGGGACAGACATACCCCCTCCCCTCCTTTCTTCCCCCCTTTCTTTCCTGCTTCCCCCCCTCCTTCCCTCCCTGCCTCTCTCCCCTCTCCCCCCATATTGTTTAAAGTTATTATAGTTTTTTTTTCTGTTTTTTCATCTTCACACAGCTGTGTTCTCTCAGGAGGCTTCATGGTGTTGATATGAAACATTTGCCATCTTTCCAGTGCTATACCATACACTGATTATTTACTTTCTTTTTTTTTTTTTTTTTTTCTTTTGGTTTTACGAGACAGGGTTTCTCTGCATTGTTTTGGAGGCTGTCGATCCAGCCCCGCCTTGAACTCACAAAGATCCACCTGCCTCTGCCTCCCCAGTGCTGGGATTAAAGGCATGCGCCACCACCGCCCAGCTATTATTTACTTTCTACTAGGACATACATGGCAGTCCAACAATAATCTTTTGAGGTCAAGTAGAACTGGATTTGAATTACTTCTGAATGCCTTGCAACTGCACAAGGAAAACTTACATTGATTACGGGCAAAAACTAGCTTAAATGGTTACCTGTAGTTCAGTAATTCTGAACTTAAGTTATGAAGATAATAGATTCAAGACAATACTGTAAATATAGTTGTGGTGGTTTGGAGATTTTTGTTGTTGTTTATTTATTCAGAGTGCTTGGGATGGAATCTAGGACCTTAGACTTTGTAGGCTCATCCCAGTACATTGGTTTAAAAAAAAAAAAAACACTATAAACACTGAATATTAAATTGTAAATCACCTTTTCCCAAATAGTTATTTTGAGTGATGCTCTTATGAGAACTGGTGTGCAAAATAACTATCTTTGAGACCTTGTCTTCAGTTCTTTGGTAATATCAATTGGGTGAAGTGCTGGATTAAGTAGTAATCTTGTTTTTGTTTTTTTTTTTGAGAAATTGTCATACTGTGACATTAGCCATATTATGTTTCATTCTCAAGCTATCACTTTCTGTTTGGGTAGTAGGCATCCTAATAAGTATCTTGTGGCTTTGATTTGTACATCACTGGTGCTTCATGATATGGTACTTAGCCATTTGTGGAGCTTTGGAGAAATCTCTGTTCATATTCTTTACAGACTATTTATTTGTTTGTTTATTTAGAGACAAGGTTTCTCTGTGTAACCCTGTCTTGGAACTCACTCTGTAGACCAGGCTGGCCTCAACTTCAGAGATCCACCTGCTTCTACCTCCTGTCCCACTGCCTATTTTTTTAATCAGGTCTTTTTTTTTTTAATTGTTGAATTATAGCAGTTCTTGATATACTTTGGATATTATTTTGTAACGTTGAGGTTTTCTGACCTGGCTAGGTCCTGCTGCCCTTCTCTGCCCCAATGGCTAAGGTTTCTTATTGGCTAGCTGTCTAAATTATTAACCCATTTCTAATAATCTCAGTATTTCCACATGGTCCCATCTTACCAGAGAAAAGGTCCGGGCCTCTTACTCCCTTGGGGTCTACATCGTGTTTGCTCAGCGTCTCTGCAGAGAAGAGAGGAGCAGATACGAGAAGAGAGCGATTTCCTGCTTGTTCCTGCTTATGTGCTGATTCTGCCCTATGTCACTTCTTGCCTGGATCACACGACAACTTCTCTTTACTACATTTCCCAGAATCTTCCTTGACTCCTAGTTCCAACTATCTTGCTTCCCTATTGTCCAACAGTGCTTTATTCATCAACCAATAAGAGAGACATGTTTACAGAGTGGCATGTCCCACCATCTCTTCTTTTCTGTCTAAATAAAATGAAGGGTTTTAACTTTAACATAGTAAAATATATAACAAAACAATTACCAAGTAAGAACTATAGTTGCAATATTTAGTTCATTAACATTTGACAAAGTTTATAGAATATATTCTATCATCTATCCTGTCTTTGTGAGTCTAAAGTCTAATTATACGTTTGACTATTTCAGGTGACTTATCATCTTATTTAATTGTACATTTTTCATGATTTTTTAATTTAAATTAGAAACAAGCTTGCTTCACATGTCAATCCCAGCTCCCCCTCTCTCCCCACCCCCTACCAATACCCATTCAACTCTCCAGGGAGGGTGAGGCCCTTCATCAGGAATCTCCAAAGTCTGTCATATCATCTGGGGCAGAGCCTAGGCCTCCCCCATATATCCAGGCTGAGAGAGTATCCCTCCATATGGAATGGGCTCCCAAAGTCCATTCGGATGCCAGGGATAAATACTGATCTAGTACCCGAGGCCCCAAAGATTGTCGAGGCCTCCTTACTGACACCCATATTCAGGGGGGTCTGGATCAGTCCCATGCTGGCCTCTCACGTACAGTTATCAAGTAAGAACTAGAGTTATAAAACTTAGCTCATTAACATTTGGCAAAATTTATAGAATATATTCTATCATCTATCCTATCTTTGTGAGTCTGAAGTCTTATATGTAATTTATCTTTAATCCTAGCTAAGGAAAACTAAAACCTGTATAAACACAATAGCTAAACAAGAGGAGAAGTAATACATGTAACAAAATTGACCTTAAATTTGTATCAACAAATGAAAATCCATACCAATACAAAATATTCATTTCTATATCGTATTCCCTTTTTTTTCCTTTAAAAGAACATTGACTGTGATCATTACCATTTCTAATCCACCCCATTTAAATGGGAAAAAAACAACATAAACAATATTTGGGAATCTGGGCGTCATTCTCTCCAAACTGCTTTCTGCTGTTCCGGGCCCTGTCATGGAGAGCCTAAGAAAACCCAGAAGTCCTAGCTGTAGTGGTCCGCAAGGCTGCCTTGCCCCAGCTGTTTGGAATGTTGGACCACCTGGGCCACTGTTTCAGGGGATCTTATTTCATCAAACTATATTAGTCTGTGGCTTTTTTATTACTCAATTTTTTGTTTGTTTGTATTTTTGAGACAGGGTTTCTCTGGCTTTGGAGGCTGTCCTGGAACTAGCTCTTGTAGACCAGGCTGGTCTCAAACTCACAGAGATCTGCCTGCCTCTGCCTCCCGAGTACTGTGATTAAAAACGTGTGCCCCCACTGCCCAGCTACTCTTATTTTTTTCCTTTTTCTATTCTCTCCCAAGCCTATGTATATGTTTAAAACCCTCTAGAGGTTTTTCTTCATCCAAATCTGTCTTTACTGTAAATCCCTTTCTGGTTTGAGGTCTTTTATCTGCTAAACAACATTGCTAAGATTAAAGCCATGGCTGTTTTAGCCACTGGCTTTCCAAGATGGTGGGGGTACATTTATTGCCAGTATTGAGAGCTGTGTTCACTACCTTGGTCTATGATGCCATCAAGCAGCACGCTGCCGGCTTGGAGATGTGGTCACTGCTGCCACCAGCTGCTCGTACACCATTCAGTTGTTAGCAGGGCCTCTTAAAAGAGCCTTGCAGTTTTTTTGCTGCTTATGCTGCGTCAGAAAGACTCCCTTAAAGGAGTCATGCGCGTCTCTGCTTGTCTCTGTTGTTCTGTTTCTAAAATCCCTTTTAAGCTTTTGTCATTATATGTGGAAATTGATGCTGCATGCTGCTGGTGCAATTTTGTAGGATTAATCCAGCAGCATTTCTTTTATCAGTTATATTTCTTCTCATAGTTCCTTTTTGCTTTAAACGTTTAATACCTACTGATACACACGAATTTTAACTTTCATGAAGTCTACTTTGTGAGTCTTTGGTGGGTTAAAACAGGTTATTACAATAAATGAAGCTTTCTCCTTACATCTCTATCCTTAAGAGTTTTTGTATTTCAAGTCTCATCTCTTATGGTTTTAGTTAAGTTTCAGCCCCGCCACTCCCACCCCTCCCATCCCCTCCCCCGGATAATTTTTACCAGCACAATGGCTTGTTCTGTTTTTTGAGTCTCAGTCAGGTACTCCTCACTGACCTCAACTATATAGAACAGGTTGGTCTCAAACTTGTGAACCTACCTCTATATCTGAGTGCAAAGATTACAGGTGTGCACCACAAGTTTTTAAGAGTTTCCTTAACCTATAATTGGTTTTATCAAAAATCACTTGAAAGTGTGGAAATTTATTTCTGGCTTCTCTTGTGTTCCTGTGGCCTCTCTCTCTTTGTGCTAGTACTAGGTACCAATCTGTATTGAGTGCTGTGGTTTTTAGTGGAGTCCTCCATCTGTATTCTTTTCTCAGTCTTTAAGATTCAATATTACATTTAGGATTGATTTAGAGATCTTAGCCTTCTAATACATGAATGCTGGACATATGACCATGTTCCTGTGTCTTCTGTATAATGTTCCTTTAAATGTTTTGTTACAGATTGCTCGCTGTAAGCAGCTCATCTGTGACCCCAGCTATGTAAAAGATCGGGTTGAAAAAGTGGGCCAGGTAATCAGAGTGATCTGTATCCTTAGCCACCCTATCAAGAACACCAATGATGCCAATTCCTGCCAGATCATCATTCCACAGAACCAAGTCAACCGTAAGTCAGGTAAGTTTTGGAGAGCAACCATTAAGAGTAGAATTATGTGAGATTTCTTAGTGTTCCCACCCACATTCCAGGTTTTACTCAGTACTAAGGAGACTTTGATATGGGAAGCAGACCTGGGCAGCCAGATGTCCTTCTTGCAGCAGTACACTGAAATGGAGTTGGTCTGGTACTCATTACCTCGAACCTCAGCCTCATGTCTAGAATGAATGACTCCGTGGATGAATGCTTGCAGGCTTCCAACTTTTCATTTATTAGTTCAACTCATACCACTGTGTTTCAACTGATTGTGTTGTTGTGGTTTTAATGGTTGTTTTAGCCACATGTGATTTAAGTCAGGACTTGGTCTAAAAATTTCAGTTCCAATTTTGATATAACTAGTGATTTTCAACTATATCTTATATTTTTGCTAGACGCCCCACATCTCAAGATATCACTTAGGAGTTTTCAGTATTGATTCCCCCACACATACAAATAAGAAACCACACCACAGAACATTTTCATTATAATAAAAAGATAGACATAGTTTTGGTTTTTTGAGACAAAGTTTCTCTGTATAGCCTTGGCCATCCTGGAACTCACTCTGTAGACCAGTCTGGCCTTGAACTCACAGAGATCTCCCTGCCTCTGCCTCCCAAGTGCTGGGATTAAAGGCGTGCGCCATAACTGTCCTGCAATAGCCACATTTTGAGTGATTCCCAAGCAGATTTGCAGACCTGTGGAAAAACTTAAAAATTCCAAAAATTATTTCTACATTTGAAGCTGTATTTAGAATAGTGGTTAGTTACAGAAATATGCAAGTATTATGACAATGGGAGTATGTGACAGCGAAATCTGCTTACCTCATAGGACTAGGAAAGACAGCAAACAAGAAGGGTCTTGGGCACAAGATAATACACTTTCAGACAATGCCCACAGTGGCCTACTTCTTCCTGCTAGAGCGGTTCTCAAGCTATGGGTTGCAATCCCTTGGGAGATTGATCAGCCCTTTCACAGGGATCACAAATCAGCTGTCCTGAAAATCAGATATTACATTGTTTCATAACTAGTAAAATTGTAGTGATGAAGTAGCAGGGAAAATATGATGCACACATTTAATCCCAACACTCTGGAGGCAGAGGCAGTCAGATCTCTGAGTTCAAGGCCAGCCTAGTCTACAAAACAAGTTCCAGGATAGTCAGGACTGTTACAAAGAGAAAACCCTGTCTCGAAAAACAACAACAACAAAACAAAGCCTTAAAAACAAATCAAAACTTAATAAATAATACTAATAATGAAATTTGTGGTTGGGGTCACCACAGTATGAGCAACTGTATGAAAGGGTCGGAATACTGTGCTAGATCCTATTTCCTAACAGCCCATTTAGCTCTGAGCTCATCAATGGATTGATGAGACTGGTACTTTGCTGATTCATTCATCTGTTAAGACCACCACCAGCAGAGAACCAATTCTTCAGCGTATGAATTTATTTTGGGTGACATTTTATATCCAAGCCATAATGTGGTTATGAGAAATTTGTTAGTAAATATTCGTAACTTACCCAAAACTTAGTTTATCTCCATATGTAACAAGTTTAGACAGTATTGCCTGTTCTAAGTAATTTTAATTTATAATGAAGTGAAACCATATAGTAAAATTTGAGTGTACTTTTTGCCTACGGTTTTCAAACATCAGTGTGTATGGTGTTATTTCTTCCAGATATCTATGTTTGCATGATCTCCTTTGCACACAATGTGGCAGCACAGGGCAAATACATTGCCATTGTAAGTACAACTGTGGAGACCAAGGAACCAGAGAAGGAAATCAGACCAGCTTTGGAGCTCTTGGAACCAATTGAACAGAAGTGAGTATTGTGCTCATTCATGTCAACTGAAACTGAGGTGTTGGTGTCTAAGAATAAGACAGGCTAGCCACTGGCTGCTGTGAATCCTTAGAATGCCTTGCTCTGTCAGTCTTATGCTTTTGGCTCAGAAATTAAGGCAAAGCAGTGATCCTGATTTGTTTCTCCCCATATAGATTTGTCAGCATCAGTGACCTCTTTGTACCTAAAGATTTGGGAACAGAGAGCCAGGTGAGTGTGATGATCTGAAAAAGATGTTACTAGTCTTTGTTGGGGAGTATTTCTGAGTAGTCTGAAGTCTCTATAATTCTTAATTCCAGATCTTTATTTCCCGTGCCTATGATGCAACCACTCACTTCGAGACAACCTGTGATGACATTAAAGATATCTATAAGAGAATGACAGGATCCGAGTTTGACTTTGAAGAAATGAAGCGCAAGAAGAATGACATTTATGGAGAAGACTAACAGCAGTACATATAATTAGGACAAACCTAAAATTTGGCAAATAATGTATATTGTATGAAATCAATATTGCAAGCCCGCTTTTATGATCAAAATGGAGATTGAAGAGTGCTATACCAGTGAATACTCCTTCCCTTCACTTTTCTGATATCATGTATTAACTTGTTTTCATGGAATGGCTGGTCAGAATTGGTTGTTTCTGTTTGGTTTAACCAGACTGGCTTTTTTTTTAAGTGAAGGAGCTGTTCTAAACAAATATTGATATCGATAGAGAACTTGATACAGTTCTTGTATCTTTTAATCAGTGTAGCCTTTGCGATTGTGTTGCCTCTGCTCAAGAGCTAGATCTATACAATTTGTGCCATCCTGATATTGGGACTCTAAATTGAATCCTTTGGTTTGGGAAAACATTCAGAGTTTTCTCTATTTTGTTATGTCAAGTATTAAAGCAGGGCCCAAATAGTAGCCACATATTTTGTTTATGTGGGTGCAAACTTCTAGCCAAATTTTAGACTTAGGGAGTTGTTTGGAGGAAGCCAGTATGTAGTATTTTAACCTACTACAATTGCTGAGAAGGGGAAAGGAACCTTATGGTAAGCAGGTAAAATTATAGAGGCACCTTTTATCCCAGGTATGGCTTCTTCAATGGACCAAGCTGCAATGCAGTATTGATTTGACAGAGCCTTGATTTCAATGATGTCTGTCTCAAAATGGCTCCAAATGATTTCTGTACTGCAAAATAAAGCCAAACTCTGGAAAGCACTGTCCTCCATATTGTCTACCCTGTTCTGCTTGTGTAGGAGAGCTTACCTAATAGATTTGGATGGGAACCATTTATTTCCTGGCTTCATTATGACTAGTTACATCTTATTCTTAATATTGTTAATGAGGCTCATTGTAGTGGGATTTTTATTAAAGGCATCCTGGTGAATGGCTTAAACATTGCACACAGACTGAATCACACAGCACAAGCAACTGCATTTTAATTGTCTTTATTAAAAAACAAAACAAAAACCCAACCCCAAACTAGGTATAAAAGCCTTTGTTCCAAATAGATAGATAGTATACAAATGTTTTTTTTTGTGTATTTTAAAGACTTAAGAAAGTTCTAATTATTATAAATAATTTCTTCCCCAGATTGATTTTTGTAGTGCAGCATAAAAAAAAAAACCCTGAAGTGGAAAAGTGTATAAATTTGTCATTTACAGAAAAATGTTTCTTTGTAGTGTTTCTTATGAAGCAACAAACAAAACAATTATGGATTATACTTTTTTACAATATGGTAAAATCCCCGAAACATGCACTTCATAAGCCTCTGACCACACACAGAAACAGCTACTTGTTAAAATAGACTTTACTTCCCATAAACGTGTGAAGGTCTCAATTTTAATAGTAAGCTTAATAGTTTTGAGGGCATTATGTTTAGAAGGAAAATACAATATTTAACATTGGAACCCAGAACTAATGGCAACTATGGTCCATGATGAAATATGACATTCTAGCAAGGTATGAAAAATGAAACATGGATTTGATTTTTTTAGATGAGGATTGATTGTGTATATCTGAAGTTTTCCAGACACAGGAAAATACACCATGTCTAGTCTCCAAAATGTAGTTTAATTACCTATAGAAACACAAAATTGTTAAGGCAAAAATAACCAAGAAATATAACCGAAAACTTTACAGTGTACTCCATTTAAATCTAAAGAACAGTTTTTGAACAGCTTTCTTTCCCTCAGTGGTAGTGTCTGCTGCTGGTAATTCCAGCTTACACGGAAGTTTTACAAAAAGTTCTTACCAATAGCTACTCCTAAATGGAGCTGCTATCTTTTGTATATTTGCAGTGAAGTAGTTTACATCTGTAACAAGGATTCCATTATTTTCAAAGACTTCTGTGGACACAGTTGGCTTGTCTGTAAAGAAGAAAAAAACCGTGGCAAAAAGCTAGCATTTCCCATTTTTCTCAAGGTAGCAGAATTCACTAGAATGATAAGAAAAACCAAGACGCATGGCAGTAGCATGGGGGAGGGAAGAACATAATGGACAATAGTACTGGTTTCAGTAAACCAGGCCGCCTAGCTAAGGCTCACAGAAAAGTAGAAAAATGTACTGGTAGGACCTGGTAATATTAATTAGAAGGCTATGAACTAGAGAAACTCAGCAATCCTTGGCAAGCATCTTCAGGACTTACTGGGTATTTGTCAAAATACATGCTGCACTACCAGCTATGGGTAAAAGCCACATATATTTAGGGCATTCAGTAACTACTTAGGGTATTTATAGAGCTGTCCTATTTTAGCATTAATGAAGATTAGACTCAGATTAAACTTACCTGTTAGGAAGACAGCAAACCTGGCATTGATATGTTGAACTTGTAGGTTTAGCAAGCATTTCAAATTTTCAGCTTTTGTTGGTGATGGAGAGTCACATTTGTGATAATGAAGCAATTCAATGATATTTACACTCTGATATGATTTCAGAATTAAGTTCTTTTTATGTGCAATTGAATCTACCCTGGAAAATAGAAAGAAATGTTAGCTTTTGTTGCTTTCATGAAAAAGAAAAAGAACTGTGGATCTATATGAAAGAAAGTGCATGTTAGTGCAGGTCCCCTAAGTCCAGAAGAGGGTTTCTGATCCCTTGGATCTGGAGAGGCAGCTGTAAGCCACCTAATAATGTAGGTGCTGGAAACTGATCTTGGGTCATCTCTCAAGTACCAAACAATCTCTCTGGCTCTCTTTGCTTTCATTTTAATTAGTTGTTAAAACACTGGTCAAGCTGGGCAGTTGTGGCTCAGGCCTTTAATCCCAGTACTCAAGAGGCAGAGGCAGGTGGATCTTGGTGAGTTTGACCAGCTTGGCGAGTTCCAGGACAGGCTCCAAAGCAATACGGAGAAACCCTGTCTTAAAAAACAAAAACAACAAAAAACCCACTTGGTCAAAGAGCCTGTCTTGATGTTCTTTTTCATGGCATAATGGCCAGCATGTATGCACTATCCCTATTAGTTGCCTCTAAACTTTACAACAATGATTCCTTTGAAAATACAGACTGTAACCTTGGGCCTCGTTCTAAGAGACATAATCCATGTAATTACAACAATCTTGTATTTTGGCAACTAAAGGTCCTACAAAGTTCTCAGGCAGTCACAACTATGCTTTTTCACTGATGTTAGTGGACTTTTGCACTAATTATATGTAAGCCAACAAATCTTGTTAGGGGTCTTGCTTTATAGTCCAACTTGGCTAATAATTACTGTATTCCAGAGATTTCCCTCTGTTCTTGCCCTTAGTGCTGTGGGATTACATTGTATGCTACCATGCCTGACAGCAATAGGTATAATTTATGTTTCATACTTAAGTCTCCTGGTCAGATTACCAATCTCAGTGAAACTAAGCAGAAGACATCTCCTAAAGAAAAATATGTCTTTAGTTCTTTAAATGTATTTATTCATAGGTGTGTACATGACAGCTTTAATACATCGTTATTACTAATGTTAAGCTTTCCCTCTAAAATGTTAGTTAGCTGGGGATGGAGAGGTGTCTTAGCTGTTAAGAGCATTGGTTTGATCCAGCATGCAAATGGTGGCTAACAACTTTTGGAGGAGATCTGATGCCCTCTTCTGGTTTCTGGAGGCACTGCATGCATGTAGTGCATACATGCAGGCAAAACACCCATACACGATTTTTAAAAAGCTGGTTGGCAAGATCATCTGTGAGTTTCTGGCCACATCCTCCAGCCTGCTTTGCTTCATTCACTATCCCTACTTTATTAGTGAATCCTCTTTTCTTGGGTAGCTCCTGCAGCAAGGAAAAACCTGAAATTTTATTCTGTCTTTAAATGTATGTGTCTGTGCATCTGTATGTCAGTGTAAGTGTATACGCACAGAGGCCAGAATAGGGCCTAGACATACAGATAGTTGTGAGTTACCCAACACAGGTGCTAAAACCCAAACTCTTGATGGATCAGCAAATGCTGTTAATACCTTATCCATTTTATTCTTTCCCAATCTGCTTAAGTTCTTTTCCTACTGTTACCAGAGAACTTGGGGTCACACCTTGAATGAGTAGAAACTCTCATAGGCTTCAGATCTCTTCAGACAAATAAAGCTAATTTTCTTTAAAAAAAAAAAAACAAAGTAAATCACTGCTGCAGACATGGTGCAGTCAGTAAAGTACCTGCTGGCTAAACATGAGGACTTGAGTTTAGACCCCTCCCCCCAGCTCCCATATAAAGAGCCAGATGTGGTGTCACACATCTGTAAGGCCAACACTAGGATGAGGACAGGCTCACTAGTCAACCAACTGGCCTAGTCCAACTGATGAGTTCCAGATTTAGTGAGACCTCTTAAAAACAGACAGTGATAGAAGACACTAACATAGATTGCCAGGCTCTGTGCACACAAATGTGTAACCTACATAAATACATACATATTCACACACACATGTTGGGGAAGTCCTGTTATTTGCCTGTTATTTGTCAATAAAGTACTGTTGAGCCTATAGGAATCTAGATAGATGGGGCTAGGAGTCCAGGAGGATTCTGGGAAGGAGAAACACAAGAGAGTCAACATGTAACGCCATGGGGGTAGGAAGCCTGGAACTATTCTCCGGTAAGAAACATACTTAGATTAACAATTATGGGGTAATTACTTAAGTCAGAGCTAGCTAGTAAAAAACAAGCAAGGCCAACAGCTTTATAATTAATATAGCCTCCTGTGTGTTATTTGGGGACTAAATCGCAGCAGAGCCCAGGCGGCTGGCGGGGGATAAACCAAAGCGGCTAGCAAGAAAAAGCTTCTCTTAACACACACAAATCATTGATTTAACCTGATATGCATGGCTGGCTGACATACACGAGAGGCCTGCACTTTTCTGAAGAGAAAGGAGGGGCGAGAATGTTGAGAGGGGGAGGAAATGGAATGAGAAGAGAGAAGGCAAACTGGGCTGCAAAAAAATTAATGAACTTAAAACAATAATCACTGCTTTAGATTTAAGGTGAGTTGTCTACAACTCAAAATGTGAATCAGTATCCAAAAAAGCAAGTTGATACTTCACCGTATTTCTGTACACGGTAGCAGAGCCTGACCTAACTATGGACTTTTAAAACCTGACATGTTGCTGTAAATACACCTTTCACTGGACTCCCTACTATAAAAAACCCCAAAGCTAACCAGCAGACCTAAATCTTCCAAAGGTGATGTCCATTCTGACAAAATTCTGTGACTGTGGTGCTTGAGCTACACTAGTCTAAAGCACATAGAAAACTGGAACTAGGGTATTTGCACCTTTCTCCACATGTAACTACCTGACATCTTCCTTGAGTTTTTTATTTTCTCTGTAGTGAAGCAGCCACTTCCATCTTCCATTTTCATTTAGTTTTTCCAGGACTGTGACAATTTCCTTCAGTTGAACTGCAGAAAAAAAAAGTTCAGCAAAGAGATGTGTCTTAGTTTTTGTTGTTAGTGCAAGGTCCATTAGTTCTAACTTTGAATGAAGAGACCCAATGTCTCTACCTCTTCCATGTCTGGCCAATGTCCAGTCTCATAAATGCATACCCGGTGACTCCTCAAACCAGTTCTAACTCGTCATACTACAATGGAAACTGTAGGTGCAAAAGCATGATGGTCACCTGCAGCTAAAGCTCTGAGCGTGCCACATGACAGAACAGAAGCAGGAGCTCAGTGCAGTAGAAAAGTTACATAAATATTTTTATTAACCTAGTTTATGTGAAGAAGTTATGCTGATGAAGGTACAGAAATGATATTCAAATTGATCTGATGTGATCTGAGTTAAGGCAGGTTTAGATTATAACAAAAAAAAAGAAAGAAAAGAAAAGAAAAAAAAAGCCTGCCATCAGAAGTAAATACTACATTAGGGTGTTAAAGGTATTAATTAACCAGCATGACTTTTGGAAGCCATTTTTTCAAGATTTTTGTTAAGAAGGACATTAGGTCTTGTGTCATCAAAACAGAGAAGTGATTCTTAAACAAAACCCAAAATGTTGCTAACTTTGCAAATGTTAAAAATGACTACAGTAAAAACATTTAGTAGAGCAATTTGCACAAAGTAAGCCCTCAATATGTGGTAATTAATTTCTTTAGAGTTGATTTCTTTTTGATGAAACAGTATTTGTGTCACTGGATAAGGAGGAATTGAGCTGACTAGGTTTCAAAGTTAAAGACCAACCTAATGTTAAATTTTCAAGTATGTCATCATCTGATACCACAAAGCCGCCTGAGCGAAAGAGTTCTTGGTAAGTGTCATTCAGAATGTCTTCAGGGCTGTCCACCCCAGCAAAGATGACACTGGGGAAATGCTTTAGTTTCAGCAGAGAAGGAATCTGTTAGACATAAAAAGACTTCCATGAAGAAAGGTATATGTAGGAACATTTAACATTCTCATAGGTTTCAAAGACCATGAGCAGCTGAAAGTATCTTCAGCTTTGCCACACATAAAGAGAAGTTCTCACCTTATTATGAGTAGCCATTAAATGCTCATCAACATTCATTAAAAAGAGGACTCAAAAGAAGAACATGTCTGAAGTTCAGGGACCTATAGATAGTTTTAAGTCACACAAACTCATTCTGTTTCCAACAGACCTGGTAGTGCCAACACCACTGAGATCATGTCACTATCATGTGTCTACAAACAAGTTGTACCTTGAGACAAACAATTATTTCCTGTCAACTAGCAGGTAGATAGAAGTTCCTTTAAAGCATGATTTTCTTAATAGACATTAGGTGAGAATATTAAACACTAGCTCACATTTTTTCATAGTTCCCTCTCAGTTAGACATGGTAACAACCTAACTTACAGAAAGACCCCTGGGTGACTGTAGGGTATGCCACATTGTACCCTCCCCAGTTATCTTCCCACTAAAGGCCCAATGGAAACATGTCAGCTATTTCCCTACACAGAATGCACAGAATAGCAGGGGGTCACAATACTACAGATTTTCGGTGCCTAGAATATATTTCTTTTTACTGTGAGATTCCAAACTTACTTGATGCAAATGTGATATTATGTCTTCATTTTTGATGATCACTAATAGTGTTTCACTCTCTCCGTGAAAAGCTTGACAGAAATCCAGAAGTTCAATTTCTGAATGGCCTCCTTTTTTTAGAATGCTCTGAAAGATTTACAAGTAGCTATTACTAAAAAAGGATACTAGTACAAAACACCTTTTTCTTTTTTCTTTTTGGTTTTTTGAGACAGGGTTTTTCCCTGTGTAGCTTTGGAGCCTGTCCTGAAACTAGTTCTTGTAGACCAGGATGGTCTCAAACTCAGAGATCCACCTGCCTCTGCCTCCTGATGCTGGGATTAAAGGCATGTGCTGCCACTGCCCAGCTTTTTTTTTTTTTTTTTTGAGACAAGGTCTCTTTATAACCCTGTCTGTCCTGGAATGTACTATGTAGACCAGCCTGGCCTCAAATTCACAGAGATCCAGCTGCTTCTGCTTCTCAAGTACTGGGATTAAAGGTATATGCCACCATGCTTATACAACTATTTTTATAATAAAAACAAGCACCAGCTGGGCATAGTGGTGCATCCATTCTTGGCATTTGGGAGACTGAGGAAGGATCATAAGTTCTAGGCCAGTCTCAGCAACACATCTCAATATGAAGCAAACAAAAGCATTTAACAATACATCAAAAAATTCTATTTACTAGGCAACATAAATAGCTACTGGTCTTATTACTAAGTGAATACACAAATATTACAATGAACTGAATTTGTTTTAGTTATAAAATTACTAATGTGTATGTATGTAAGTGGGTGCACACGCACATGCCATGGACTACACGTGGAGGTCAGGGAATAACTTTCAGGATTTGTTTCTTTCCTACCATGTGGGTCCTGGATATCAAACTCAGGTTGGTAGGCTTGGTGTCAGGTCCAAGAAGTTTATTTTAAAGATAAAGCAATTTATATCTACAAAATATCAAAGGATGATTAAAAAAATCCGAATCAATTCACAAAAATGAAGTTTCATTTTCAAGGGAGTAAGACAAGACAGAGTTGCTGGGTGTTTACATAATGCCATTACATTTAATATACGGCTAGAACTTTAGCAACATACCAGTGCATTCTTTTATCACTAATGGGAATCAATTTGAATAGTTAATTGTTCACTGGTGGTCCACACTTAATATAAGGGTAACAAACTACGTGTTTCTAAGGAACTGTACATTCTGACTTTACCTCAGAGAGGATCCTTGTGAAACCTCATTGGGAAGGTAAATGTGCATTATGAAAGAACTTTCTCAATCCCATTTCTCTTATGACTCTGTTTCTTGAGAGAACTTTTCTGTGTTGCCCTGGCTGTCCTAGAACTCACTCTGTAGACCAGGCTGGCCTGCAGAGATCCACCTGCCTATGCCTGCCAAGTGCTGGGATTAAAGGTGTGCACTACCACCGCTGGTCCCTTATACCTCTTATGTGATGCATCTTCACTGAGGATTATGACTTGCCACTGTACATTCCAAACAGTCAAAACATTTATTGTCTTTATAAGGTATTACTTTGTCTGCCTTGAATCCCTAACTGTACTGTTGTTTTCTTGAGACAGGATCTCCCCCGGTAGCTTGGCTGGCTTCACACCTCTGATTCTCCCATCCCAGCCATCCAAGTGCTGGGACTACAGGTGTCAGCTACCACACCCAACAAACATTGTGCTCTTGAATGCATGTTATAAGTTTACTTTAGTATGTATTCAATTAAAAATTGTACCTTTGTACAACCATGTACTTTTTATTATGAGCAGTGGCCAAATAGTGAAATACTGTCAAATTTTCAATATATTCACTATAGAAATAAGAGGCTCCCTAGCCACAGTGTGGGTGCTAGGAATCAATTCCGGATATCTGTAAGAACAGTAGGTATTCTTAACTGCTGGGTCATCCCTGCTATTTATTTAAAAAAAAATATTATGAGTCTTGCCAGTACACACTCGGGAGGCAGAGGCAGGAGGATCTCTGTGAGTTCGAGGCCAACCTGGTCTATAGAGCAAGTGCCAGGATAGGCTCCAAAGTTACACAGAAAAACCCTGTCTTAACTCCCCCTCCCAAAAAAAATTATTAGTCTTTCCAGTGACCTCAGGATGAAGTCTAAATATGGTAATGTATTTATAGGAGCCCTTTTCTAGCATGGCTCTTTAGTGTCTCTAAATTCTTGACAATAGACTCTATGTCCAGTGGTGCTGACCAAGCTACCCCACTCCCACCCCACTATGCACTTGTTCCTTCTGGTCCCCGTGTCCCATACCTTGTCTTTTGTCACCCCACATGCTTGTATCTCTGTAGCATTAAGCCCATTGTATGATGTGTCTGAATTAGTACAAAGATTACTTTTCACAAAATGTTATACGAGAACACGCCTTTATTTTGTAACCTATCATTACCGATTTTCCTTTTTCTCAATGAGACATTTTGGTATGTGATTTTTGTGAATGTATGAATGTGGGGCCAGAGTTGACATCAAGTGTCTTCTATTGATCGTCACTGTTTTCAGACAGGGTTTCTCATCAAACCTAGAGCTAACCTATTCAGTCAGAATGGCTGACCAGCAAGCCCCAGGGATTTGCCAACCTTTGTCTCTCCAGTGTTTGGATTACAGCCACCTGCACAGCGTGCTGTGTTCAGGTCTTTCTGTTTGTATGTCTTGTATGGCTAACACTTTACTGACTGAGCCATCTCCCCAGCCCTGTAATAGTTTTTCTTAAAAAAAAAAAAAAGTGGTTATTGAAAGCCTGTAATGGTGTGAAAGCCTGACTTGGAGGGCAGTATTTGTCTTGATTGACCACTAGCTTTTCATTTTTGTCCTCTTGGAATTTATATTCCATTTGAGTTGCTGATAACACCTGCCATGTAGTATGCAGACAAAACTCAAGATTAATACCCATCACATCCTATACCATTTCTTTTTAAGCACAAACTTTTAAGTTTATTACTTCTAAGATAAACTAAAATTAGAATATAATGAAGTATAAGAGTAAGCTGATACTTTACCTTTGTTCTTAAAAAGAATGACTTATCTTCTGTTTCAACAAGGTAGAACCAGAAAGGACTCTTACAAGCCTCCCTCATAACTCCTTTTAGTTTGATATGCAGAGTGGCACACAAGTCTGTGATCACATCTTTGTAGGATACTGACCGTCTTGGTTGACATGTCTCCTGGGACACAGATTCTGCAGAAGCTATGTTTAACTCTTTATCTTGGGAAACAATTTGGTTGCTGTTCATCATAATCTTATTAAACTCAGCATATTCATTTAGAATAAGTGAAATATCATTTCTACCTTCTTTCAAAGTACTGTTGTATTTCAGTTTATTGAGGTGGACTGGAACAGTCTGACTGGAACAGTCAGAACTTTTAAGATTTCTACTTTGACTACATTTCTCCTTCCAAAAACAGGAAGAACTGTCCAGATTGCTGGGGGAGTGGCCTCTTCGGCGATGGCTCTGCTGCCTTGTGTCTGAGTGTACAACTGTCACCAGAATGGGGCTTCTGTTCTTAGGTGCATGATGTAGAAGGGAGGCATCAGAAGTTTGTGTTGAAGCGCATGTTCCAACTGAAATTCGGGTAAGTGACTCCTTAGAGAAACTGTTGGTGTTAGGGGAAGACTGCTGAGAATCCAGCTTCTTTATTATTTGTTTTAGCTTATGATCAAAACGCAAGTACTCCAGGTCTAAAGTATTCTGAGTGAGGTCATCTGCAACATGCCAAGTGCTAGTCCAGGAACTAAGAAGGCTGCAGTGTGCAGTGAAATTCCAATGCCTCTTCAGGCTATGCAATGTTCTTGTGGTGTCTCTGGACTCTTTTGTTATAGTAAAGTTAGTGTAAGTCCTGGGGATACCGTGGGAATCTGGGATCTGGACATAGCGTGGCATACACTTATTTGTTGAGATAGGACACGGTTCTGTGTCCCAGTTTCTGTGTGGAGTGTGTGTTTCCAGGTCTGAAATTTTCCTAGAGTATTCCCAAGTGTTATCACTGATGTTTAAGCCTGTGAAAGAGTCATTGCTATCTTTTATAGCATCTTTTTGGTTTGCATGACTACCTCTCAAAGTACACAAATTCTCCACGTCTAATTTGCAGTTTCTACAATCGAGAGAATCCTGATTGGTGTCTTCAGAAAGTGGCCCATAGCACGTGGAGTCATTTACACTTATCTCTGTATTCCTGCTCAGTGTTTCAGAATCTGCCTTGGTTTTATGTCCCATATTAGGGTTTTCACTGACAATATGTTCTTTGTAGATACCACAAGCAGAGTCAACAGATTCTGGGACAAAGGAAGCAGAAGGCTCTTCATTGATACTTTCACTGATGTCTGCTGTATTTTGGTAAGAATGAACATTTTGGGAGGAAATGCCATCATTCAAGGGCTTTTTTTCTTCCCATTTTGATGTGTCCTGCAGCACACGAGTTGTTTTTTGCTCACCTTTTGTCAATGTGAAGTTAGAGTGAAGGTCAATAGCACTGAGATCCATCCTTTCTTCATTTAGTTCAGTTCCATTATTTTGAAGTAAGTGGGCCATTCTAGGTGTTTGTATTTCCTGTGTTTGAAACCCTGGCTCTACACTTGTTGGTTTTGTATAATAGGTGCACTGAGCATGGTCAGAGGAAGAAACAAAGTTAGAGATCTCTGGGTGCATGTTTGCCTGTACAACATCAGTTTTGTCAATGGAGGCAGAGTTCACTGACCCAGCCTGCATATCACCCTCTGTTTTCAAATCACTGTCACAGACATTTTTATTCTTTTTAGAGCTAGTCTGTTTTATTGACATGTTCACTATTGCACTTACAGTGGTTACAGAAACCAATGTATCTGCCAAAGACTTATTTTCAACAACACTGGACTCCAAGGCAAAAGGTTTTATGTCTAGATTTCTGTTTTCCATACAAACTGCCTGCAATGGGTTTCCTGATTTTACCAGTTTTTCAAGAGGCTTGAAGTTATCTCCATATTTGGGGGGCGAGGTAGGCTTGTTTAACTCTGTATCATAGCACTGCACCTTTTCTGAGAAAGACAAATCCTCATTGTGCTCATCTGGAACACTGAACTCTGTTATCTCACCAGGCAGAGTTACTCTGCCTTCTCTTCCTGCATTATTTAGTATCTGTGGCATTTCAGCCGAGAGCTGCACTTGTACATGAGGTAACTTATCTTGTCCCATTGAAGTCTTAGGACCAACAAAAGAATTTCCCTTTTCTGGTATGGTTAAATCTCCTGACTTAATCTGGGAAAACTTATTTTTCTCAGACTGTGTACCATGAAGTTTTAGACAACATGGAGATGGTTGTGTTTCTTCAGTTTGTACTATGGGATCAGGACTAGAAGCTGGAGACACTTCTTCTATTAGAGGACCAAAGGGAAAGCCTGAGGGAACATTAATTTCCTCTGCAACCTTAGGGGCACAATTTTCTTTAGAAAGTATTAATGTACCTGGTTTCAGATCACTGCTTTGTGTCTCTTTTAATGGTTCTCTGGATTCCACAGAAAACACTGACATAAGGCTAGCTGAACTTACTTCTTTGTTTTTTATGTGGCTCACTTGTGCTTCTGGTTCAACCATTTCTTCAGTTCTACTCAGTCCTAAATTTGATATCGGGGCCCTATGCAATTGTTCAATTTCATCTGATGCTATTTCCTCCCTGGGAATTGTATGTGGTGATACTGTTAGAGTTAGGTCAATATCAGAATCTTTCCCTAACAACTCCATGCTAACCTCTTCCCTATTCATAGACAGATTGGTTTGTTTGGGAATTAGTGAATTAAATGTTTGCAAACCCTTTTCTTGGTTTAGACTACTCTTGTCATTATTCCTTACTTCTGAGGAGCCATCTGTTATATTACTTATTGTTGGAATACAGTTAAGGGACTGCTTGTTTCCCAGGGTAGCAGAGGTTGATGATGACACTTTAACTTGTGATGGCTCTAGAATCTCATCTAAAGACATGTGAAAGCCATTCTGAGTCTGTAGAAAGGAATCTTGTGGGCATTTTGTTTTATCACTGGCTAATGAATAACTAGAACTTTTAACAAATGACAGTGCCTCTGTTACCAATCCTTCATCTGCTGATGACGTTGGAGGAGGAATCTCTTTCTGTAATGGACACAGGCTTTCAGGAGGTGTTTCCTTTTTTAGGGAGGAGGTAGAAAGACACTTACTCTCTTTACATTCTGAAATAGCAAGAGAAGGAATGTCCCTAGGGCATTGTGTTTGTGCCTTTTCCAGTGTAGACAGAGGATGCTGAATACTCAAGGCAGGGGATACTTGTTTAACCAGCTCAGTATTAAAGTCTGTAGGTTTGTCAGCTGTATTTACTTCTTTATGTATTGGTATATAGGCAGGTTTTTCAAAAGCAAGAGTAACAGGATCCAGATTAATCATCATATATTCTACATTATCATCTGTCCTTTCCACAGAGGGTGTACAGTTGTTACTGATGGGGCTGCTATGCTGGATAACATCCCGTACAGCACCTGTTTTTATCAGCAGTGATGGATGGAAAGTATCAACTTTGTTCTCAAGGGTGCCAACCACAGACTTCTGACACATCATTGGCTCGATTCTGGCTCCATCACAAACTGTGGTCAAGGTGGCTTGTGTGACAGAGTCATTACAAGAACCTATCTCTGTGCTCTGGAAGGTTTTATCTTCACTAGGAATACAAGATCCATTACTTTGAGCACTTGCAACACCAGAAAGTCCCATATTAAAAGTCTCAGACATATCTGGTAATTCTTGTTTGGCTTTACCTCCGGTTACCTGAAATGACAAAAATTAAAACAAATAAAAAAAAGTTAAACAGATTAAGGAAAATTATATATATTAAAAAAGGTATGGGCTACTTTTAGTTTGTTTTTTGAATTTTCTTAATCTATAAGAAATTACCAAATGATAGGATAAGCAAACCTACCAAATTAGGGTTTTATTTTGTGTGTGTGTGTGGGGGGGGGGTACATACCATTAAACTTAGGCTCTCTGCCCATTAGGCGAGCATTCTTCCTCTTAGCCATGCCATAGCTCACTGTTTTTCTCCTTTAAAAATATTCATAGATGAGGACGAGGTGTGTATGGGGTGGGGTGGAGGTGGGGGGGGTGGCACATGCCTGTAATTCTAGTACTCAGAAGGCTGAATCAGGAAAATATAGAGTTCAAGGCTCCTGTCTACAAAGGAAGGCCTGTACCTTATTCAATGAAGAAGGTAGACAAAACCTACCTATGAATAATATAGAGGAACACTTTATGGAAATTATGTTTGGGGCATTAAAATCCTTTACACAGATAGAAGATCCATTTTTTTTTTTTCCTAAATAATATCTTGTCTTGAGTAGGTTTACATATAAAATGAAAAATTATCAAAAAAATAATCCCAACGTTTATAATAGTACCTCACCTCATTATTACAAGAAGAGGTGAAATTCTGGCCTCCTGAAGTATCCAGGTGACACTCCCCTGTAAACATTTCTTTCTGTTCATTCTGTACACAGAGTTCCAAGTCTCTGGTGGTTGGTGGACTAATAAAAGGAAGCACGCAGTTAGGTCCAGGAAAGGTCCTATTGGTGCCATGTCCTTCACACGCTTCCTTAGTCTCCAACAGAGGGTCTACAGAATATCTTTCCACACTGGAAAACTCCTCAATTTCACTTTGGTCAAAAGAGTCTACAGACCTATTTATGCATACGTATTTTGCTGGGTTTCTGTGTTCTACCACCTTTCGAGGTGACCCCATGATTTTGTTCTTTTTGCTGTAGAACAGAGCTACCCACATATGAAGTAAAAGCTTCACATCTTCCATATTTTCAGGCAAATCAGTGTTCCAGGGTCTGAGATGTTAAAGAGCACACAAAACATAATTGAAATGTTATTTATCATAATTATTGTAAACAATTTAATTATCATAGTAAGTTTCTCTATGAACAATTATTTTTGTGTTCACTTTAAAATATTACATATATGAAGCAGTAAGATTTAACAAATGATTATGAAGTATAATCCATTAATTTTAAAGAGAAGAAAACCAAGAATCAGAACATTAAGTGCCTTATTTCAAATCACAAAGCATACTCAACAGTTGAGGCTTCTGCCTCCTAGCCTACTAGCATTTGCTTTTCATACCACACAAACTGACTCTGGAGACAGCCTGTTATTGTGGGATTAATGGTTCTAGCAACTACCCAAATTCTTATCACTTTAGTTTGGTTGGGAATTGTTAATTCATTTAGTTTTCTTTCTCCTTTCTTCTTTTTTGAGTCAGGGTTTCTATGTGTAACAGTCCTGGCTGTCCTGGAACTTGCTTTGTAATTAGTTTTCACTTTCATCCCTTATAATAGTTGGAAAAGTATGATGATTAGAATATTCTTTGGGCAATGCATCAAAAACTATACTATTTTCAGATTATAGTTCTAGACAGGCACAAAGCAATTCTGTCCTTTGACAAAAAGACAACAGACTGCTGAAGTGGGCTGAACTGGAGTTAGGCTACAGCTGTCATACTAACTAGGACATCAACTAACTCTGTGTATTTTTTTAAGACTTATTTATTTATTACATATACAGTGTTCTGCCTACATGCCAGAAGAGGACACCAGATTGAATTGTAGATGGTTGTGAGCCACCATGTGGTTGCTGGGAATTGAACTCAAGACCCCTGGAAGAGAGAGCAGTCAGTGCTCTTAACCTCTGAGCTATCTCTCCAGCCCAAATCTGTGTATTTTAACCCATGCAAGAAAAGAAATCTGGTAATATGGAATGTCATTTAGTAAATATGAAATGGTTCACAAACAGCTGAATGTCATTCCATGCTGTTAATTCTTCTTGATAATAATTGCTACCACTTATTATAGTGGGCCAGTCACTGTGCAAAAGTTTACTAATCTTAATGACCTTCAGAATATAGCTTCTGTTAAACCTATACTTAAAAACCTCTCCAGAGCCAGGTGTTGGTGGCACACCTTTAATCCCAGCACTCAGGAGGCAGAGGCAGGTGGATCTCTGTGAGTTCGAGGCTAGCCTGGTCCACAAAGCGAGTTCCAGGACAGCCTCCAAAACAATACAGAGAAACCCTGTCTCAAAAAAACAAAACAAAACAAAAAACCTCTCCAGACCATAACCCACCACTGACACCTGATATTTGTTAAGAGATGTAGACCCAGAATGCACCAGAATCTGCAGCCCAATGAAATTCCTAAATGGGAAGTATATATACAATACTTTTGAGAATCCCTCCCTGCCTAGAAGCACATACTTATTCCAGGTCACAACAAGCTTAACTACGAAAGCTACTAGTTTAAGCTCCAAAACACTATAGTGCTAATAAATCACTTTTTAAAAAAATAATTTACTTTTATTTCGTTTGCATTGGTATTTTGCCTGCATAGATGTCTGTGTGACAGTCCCAAATCTTGGGAGTTGGAGAGGGTTGTTAGCTGCCATGAGAGTGCTGGGAATTGAACCCAAGTCCTCTGGAAGAACAGTCAGTGCTCTTAACTGCTGAGTCATCTCTCTAGCCCCCTTGTTTTAGTTTTCTTAAACAGGGTTTCTTTTTGTAGTGCTGGCTGTCCTGAAACTCAATCTGTAGACTACAGAGATCTGCCTGCCTCTGTCTCCTGAGTGGTGGGATTAAAGGTATATGCCAGCTCCATGAATCTTTTTTTAAAAATTTATTTATTATATGTGCAGTATTCTGCTTGCATGTATGCCTACAAGCCAGAAGAGGGCACCAGATCTTATTACAGATGGTTGTGAGCGACCATATGGCTGCTGGGAAGTGAACTCAAGACCTTTGGAAGAGCAAGCAGTGTTCTTAACCACTGACCCATCTCTCCAGCCTTCCATGAATCCTTAAGGAAGACTTATGGAACCATTCATTCACTTAAAATCACTCCCATCAATTTGATGAACAAGCAATGCAAATGAAAAGCCACATCTTTACAAGTTCTCTATGTGATCACTAATGGTGGCAAAATGTATCATATTCATTAAACACACACTTTATATTGTATTATTGCTGTACAATGCTTGTTCCTTCCCCAAAGTCAGGCATGAGTCTCCCATCTTACCACACAGAGCAAAACAAAAAGCTGTACCCCTCCTACTTACCCATGTAATGCTCTCACAACAGTTTTTTCCAATGGGTTGCTGGTATATTTGCTATCTAAGCTGAATGTATATTCTCCTTCACATTTGAAAGTGATCTTAAAGGAGCCATCACAACTAAGAACAGTATGAGAGCAAAAAATATCTTTGACACTAGAAGATACAAAGAGACTTTTGCGCTTAGTCAAAGAATCTTCAGAAAGCTTTTGTAGAGGGGAGGTATTCTGTAGATGCCGAAATGGCATGACTTTTCCTATAGGCGTTCCAGCTTCGGGGCCTTTTGTCCCATTCTTTGCAAAAGCTGGGCTTGGTAACTTTCTCTGATGCAGATGTTTCTTGGATTGCTCAGCAAGGAGCAAGGCATAGGAATGTTCAACAGCAACAGAGTTTTGGCTTGCATCTGAGGATTCTCGGGCTTCCTCAAGGAGTGCTGGCTGGGAAATAGCAAGAGGCTGAGCACAAGGTACAATGTTTTCTTCTTGGCTAAAAGTGACGTCTAACTTTGAATCAATCTTCTCATCAGAGGATGGCTTAGGTAATAGTATACCTTTTTGACTTTTAACTCCCCTATGATATTCATGGTCAGAGGTGCTGTGCAATGAATTTTCTTTAGAGAGTAAAACATTGTTTTGTGGCAATTCAGAGAAGCAGGGAACATTCCTAAGCTCACAAGATGGTATGGAAGAAGCAGCGGAGCTTAATGCCAGGTCAGCTAACATATTTAAGGCCTGGGAGTCACAGTTGATAATTGAGTTTTCAGGAAAACCTTTAGAAATCGCTGCAATACTTTCTTGTTGAGCTGTACTTAGGTTAGTTCCATCTTTTTGAACATATGATGAAATTTCTGATTGAAGATGTAAAGAAACGTCTTTTTCGGCTTCATAATAAAAAACAAAAAGGATAGTTATAACATTTTTTTCTTAGAATATCTTGCATATTCCTATACTTAACTGAAAATAGTCAATGCAGTTACAAAAGGAGGGTGGGAAAAACAAAACCCAAAGTCCAGCCTTCAGTGTGCTTACATTCTAGTTAATGTGCAATTTAGAAATATGAAACACGTGCTATACAGTTTGCTAGCACACTTTATAAGAAACCATTTCCCAAGAAACAATTAAGCTAAAATTAGAGAATGTTTAGCTTTATGATATGCATAGAACATTATAAAAACGTTGAATATTCAATCAATTTTATACTTAATTTTATATTTAAAGAACTTTACTTTTAGCAATAAAGGTACTATTACCTGCAAAAGAGGTAATCTCCTAGCAATTTCCTTTCTGTAATAATGGAATCTAACCATTTGCCATTACCAGAAAAATTACATTCTCCAGTGGTTTGCAAAGCACTTGCTGAACACTAATCTTCTTAAATGCTATTATAAAAAAGAAAGTTCACAACTATACTATATAACAATTCCCTTTACAGATGAATGGATACAGAGAAAAGCCAAATGGATGCTTTCAAATCAACCACAGCAGGTCTGAAATGAGTCAATAACCTGTCTACAAAAGGCCAGTTTATACATTTAATTAATTAATACATTTAAAGAGAGGAAAACTCTGGCCTGTGATGTATCATTTGGAATGAGGAGGGTTTTGGGAGAAAAAATTACTCAAACACAGCTTAGTTGTCAACTGACACTGATTTTTGTTTACTTTTGTTAACATTACAGTTTACATCTATTTCTTATATAGAGTATCACTTGTAAGTTATGGCTATTATGATAATGACTACCAATGACAAGAAAAGTAGTATATGTATGTAAATTTAATTTAAAGCAATTATTGACTTGGTACAGATTCTCAATCAATTAAAACATCATATACAGAAGACTAAAATTAAGAAAAAATAGACCTAAGACCAAGGTGACAACAATACTTTCTGATAAAGAATTAATGTCGGGCTGGAGGGATAGCTCAACCGTTAAAGGCTAGGCTCACAACCAAAAATGTAAGAATTAATGTCTAACAGGTGGAAATATACTATTAGCAAGTCAGCTTTTCACTTATGTATATAAGTTTTATCAAAAGTAAAATATCTCAAAAGTACAACACTTTTTAAAGCAAATACATTTTTAATTACTGCTTGTAATTATTTTTAGGCAATCTTACAGCCTTTTCTAATTGATCAGAGATCAGACAAACACTAGTAGATACTACTTTGTAAGACTATTTAGTGATAAATGAGGATATTTATACTTTAACTCTTATAAAACTCATGTTCAGGCTTTAAAGTTAAAGTAGAGGCTACTTACAGGTTTTCTAAGTTATTTAAAAGAAATTTTTATGTAGCTTGCTCAAAACTGCCAATAATCTAAAATAATGTATTTGGTTTAAAAGGCAGCAATTAAATTTTAAGTTATTTTACTTTTCTATCTTTTAAATAAATAGCACAATTAAGAATCCAGAGGCTGGTTATGGCTCAGTAGTTCAGAGTACTTGTTGCTCTGCCAGAGGACTGGGTTCAGTTCCTAGCACCCACACGGTGGACACATACCTCTCTAACCCCAGTTCTAGGGGACCAGACTCCTCCCCCTCTGGCCTCCATGAGCACTGCATGCACATAGTGCATAGACATACATGCAGGTAAAACACTCCTACATAAAACAAATCTAAAAGTAGTAAGAAAGAAGAAACCAAATTATTGTCATTCATATCTGGACTAAAGACTAGAGTGTTATTGATACATTTCAAAAACTGCTGTTATATATTGCAATATATTTTCTTACAATCTATTAGACGTGTAATGATAGTGTTCATATTTACAGGAAGAGGTTTTCTTACCAAGTTGGAGCTGCTTTCTGGTTCTGGGATTCCTACGGCCTCTTGTTACATTTACCTTCCGTTTTTGTGGAGACTTTTTCAAAGGTGGCTTAGGCCGTGAAACAACTCTACCTGGAGATTTCTCTTGTTTCTTTGCCCTTTTAGCATTTGTGGCCACCGGAGCATCTTTAGATACGGAAGTGTCTCTTTTTCTTCTGTCCAGTCTGGTTTTCTGTACAAACTGTGCAGTCAGCACTTCTGCACCTTATGTAGAAATGACAGGGCTGGGTTAAGGGTGTGACCCAGACACTTAGCAGCATAACCCTTTTCTTTATTTTACTGGGGGTGGGGTGCTAGCTAATACTAGGAAATACATTACAAAGTTCTGGATATCAGTGAAAGATTTTAAAATAAAGCAAAACATGGGAAAATGACTAGTGATTAAATTACAGGGTCAAACTTAACATTCAGATCTTGGCAATCAGCATATTCTATATGCTTCTTAGGCACCGGTATTTCCTAATTAAAAATAAAAAACAATCTCTCTTTCTGCTACTGTCTCCTCTTCCTCTTCTGTCTTCCCTCTGTGTCTCTTTACATCTTTTCTCTTTCTTTCCCCTTTCTAATAAAACTTCTCACTCAAAAACAAAATACAACGTCTTTAATCCCAGCACTCGGGAGGCAGAGGCAGGCAGATCTCTGTGAGTTTGAGACCAGCCTGGTCTATAAGAGCTAGTTCCCAGACAGCCTCCAAAGCCACAGAGAAACACTGTCTCGAAAAACAAACAAACAAATAAATAAAATTAAATACAAAAGTGGTGGTGTATGCCTTTAATCCCAGCACTAGGTAGGCAAAAACAAGCTGATCTCTTTGAGTTCGAGACCAGGCTAATCTACAGAGCAAATTCCAGGATAGGCTACAAAGCTACACAGAGAACTCCTGTCTTGAAAAACCAATTACCCGCCCCCACAAAAAAACAAAACAAAACAAAAACCAAGAATGGAGGCTTGCTTGTCAACATGGACAAGTTCATAAGACCTGGGAAAGTGGTACTGGTCCTGGCTGGATGATACTCTGGACACAAAGCCATCATTGTGAAGAACACTGATGATGGCACCTCAGACCACTCTTTCAACCATGCCCTGGTGGCTGCAATTGACCACTATCCCTGAAAAGGGACAGCTGCTATGGGCAAGAAGAAAACTGCCAACAGATCAAAGATCACATCCTTTGTGAAAGTGTGTAACTACAATCACCTCATGCCCACAAGGTACTCTGTGGACACCCCCTTGGACAAAACTGTTGTTCAACAAGGATGTCTTTAGAGACCCAGCCCTGAAACACAAGGCCAGGTGGGAGGCCAAGGCCAAGTCTGAGGAATGATGCAAGACAGGGAAGAAAAAGTGGTTTTTCCCCAAAGCATGCTCTTAGGTATATTTTTGTTTCCATCATAAACAAAAGAAGAAAAGGTTGGCAAACATTTCCCATGAAGAACCAGACAGTATGTACTTTCAGTTTTGAAGGTCATATGATCTCTGACTTAATTTTCCAACTCTACCTATATAAAGTGACAGAACCCTGCCTCAATGAGATGATGGGACAAACTTAGACTTATCCTCTCCAAGAAGCAGATGGGAGGTGATGGGGAGGAGGAGGAGGAGAGGTGGGAGGGGGAGCTGGAATTGGAATGTAAATAATAACAATAACAACAACAACAATAATAGTAAGAGCTTTAAAAAATGACAGAGCTAGAGATCATCTATGTATGAACGAATGGAAACCTTGGTTATATAGTGTGTTGACTCCTCTGCTTAAGAGGTCCCATAAAAAATACTACAATTCCTTAGTTCTAGAGAAAATACAATAGATATAACTTGAGCTGATGATGAATGAAAGTAATACAGTTTGCTATACTGACTAAACTATATCTGTCAATAAAATAAATGGTGGGGATGAAGAATTGGCTCAGTGGTAGAGAGAGAGAGAGAGAGCACACTGCTTTTCTAGAGGACTAGTGTTGGATTATCAGCACCCGGGCATCAGGCAGCACAAAATGGCCTGGAACTCCATCTCCTGGCACTGGGGTTGGGGCATGATGTATATGTGTGCGTGCATTTGATAACCTCTTCAAGTTTCTGTGGGCACTGTAAGCCCCCAATGAAAAAATGTAACTTTTTTCTTTCTTTTATAGGTGCTTAGGCTGTTGGTTAACGGACACTGTTACTGGCATGTCCATTTTTAGAGGATCTGTTTCCTACTACCTGCCAGAGCAATACAGAAATCAGATAGTCCTCTTTCTAAGAATGGAACATAAGTATGTGAGAACCACCTGAAGGTTTACTAGAGAAACATAAGCTTATGGTGGACAGGCTTTTGAGACCTTAATTGTTTTCATGTCTTGGTGTCCAGCTCTAGATCACTGTTTTCTCTAGCTTTCATATACATACAAATCACTCAGGAAAAAACGGCATTTCTAACAAACTGGTAAGCTCTAGTTCACATGAATCCAGTCCAATAATAGGATTTGAAGTGAAGTTGTAATTATAATAATCACATACATTATTCTTACCTCTTTTTCTCTTCTGAGGAAACTGCCCTTTAACTAACTTAAGCGTTGGGTTGCATGATCCGCTGTCTGCTTTGGGTGCAGTTCTTTTGGAAAGTGAGCGGCCCAGGCTCCCCCGTTTATTTGGCAGCATAATGGCTGATGTGCTGGCCTTTCTCTTTGGCTGAACTCTCAGATTTGAAACTGGAGTCAATAGAGCCACAGCTCTCTTCTTTGTTCTCAATGTTTTCCCAGACTTTGTTGTTTCAGTTTCTTTTCTTAGTTCCATCTCTGAGTCAAGAAATTCAGGATCTGGAGTCATAACTAAAGAAAATCCAGCATCACAAATCCCATCTGAAACACAAGGACACTGAGGATGCTCTGCTAATATGTCTAAAGTAGTAGACAGATCCAGAGTGTAGCCACTAGGATCTGAAAAATAACTCTTCATCTGAGTCAGAGACTCTGGAGGGCACTTTTCAAGTGGGGGAGCCAAGTCAAAAGCATGGGACAGTTTCCCAATGAATGCAGTGTCTTTCATTTCATGGTTCAGAGTCGTCAAAGAAAGGCTTTTGTCCACCTTATACAGGTCTTGGAAAGTATGCTTTACTAAAATGTTTGGAGGTATTCCTTTTTCAGGAAGTGATTTCTTTGCTTCTAGAAGTGCACAACTAAGGGCAGGTAAAATAGGTATCACTTTCAGAGAGATGCCATCTTCAACTTTCAAGTCCTTTGCTCCTAAAACACATACGTTAAGAATTCAACCCTGTTTCAGACATACAGGAAAAATGTTATAGATTTCAAATTTATTACCAAGTTATATATGTTACAGTACTGTAAATGCAAACCTAAGTGGCAACTAGTAAAAGTTTAATGAGTATATTTAATGAGTATTTATCTCCATATACTTACATCTCACACACACATCAATACGGAAAAGTGATTTGATAAGCAAAATACTACGTTACAACGAATAAAACAACTGTGCCTCCAAATCCATCTCACCTACAGGGTGTTTAGAAGAGCCCTGTGGACCTTATAGTAGTAGCACTGCCCTAAGGACAAGCAGCGTGTTTCCCACTTCACTTACTTTCTTTGAGAGGCTACAATGCAAACTGAAGCGAAAAGTGCAAAGGCCTTAAGCCTTGAATGTAACTGAAAAAACAGATGAAGCCTTGGGGTGGTGGTGCACACTGTTATACTGTCTTGAAAAATAATTATTTTTCCTTCTCTATGAAATTATATTTTATGCATTTAAAAATTAACTGATGTGTATTGCACCTCATCTCCCTGACTCACTCTCTGATTAATTTTGCTTAACTTTTTTTTGTCTTTTGTTTTTGGTTTTCTCGAGACAGGGTTTCTCTGTAACTTTGGAACCTGTCCTAGAACTCATTTTGTAGACCAGGCTAGCCTCAAACTCACAGAGAACTACCTGCCTCTACCTCCAAGTGCTGGGATTAAAGGTGTGTGCCACCACCACCTGGCACTTATCAATAACCTAACAAATGAGGAAAAAGGAGGATGTCAGATCTCTATGAACTAGTTAACAAAATTCTAAAACATCTCAGTTACCAGTAATATAAATCTACAAAAACAACTCCAGTGCCTACTAAATGGAAATAGAAATTATGAAATTAAAAAAAAGCACCTGCAGAATTACAAAATACCAAATTAGTCCTAGTTAAATATATTAACACTGTACAAATATTAGAAAAGGCAAAAGGGCAAACAATAAAAAGGAAATGTAGTTAAGCATTAAGATTTTCTTCCAAAAAAAAAAAAAAAAAGATTTTCTTCCAAGCTTGTCAGAGTACCAAGAGAAGAGAAAAGAAAATGTAGAAAAGGTCTGTAATATATTACTAAAGACAGCTTCATGAAAAAGTCCCTAGGCAACTTCACTATTATCAGAAGAACTTGAAAAGGCAGGAGCCTTCCACATCTACTGGGAAACCCTGTCTTGAAAATCCAAAAACGGAAAAAGAAAAAAAAAAAAAAAAAAAAAAAGAAATAACAGCTAGTGCCACCAGGCAGTGATGGCCCATGCCTTTAGTCCCAGCTCTTGCGAGGCAGAAACGGGTGAATCTGTGAGTTCAAGGCCAGTCTGGTCTATAAAGTTCATTCCAGGACAGTCAGCACTGTTATACAGAGAAACCCTGTCTCAAAAAAACTGGAAAAGAGGGAGAGGGGAAGGAAGGGAAGGAGGGGGAAAGGGACAAGTGGGGGGAGAAGGGGAGAAGGGAGCAGGAGAGAAAAAGGCCAAGAGTCAACATGTTTTGTAGTAGATTTACCATAAAACTTATGAAGACTATTAAGCTGGCTAAACAAAATTTCAATTTAATAGAGGTTACTAAAGCTCTGAATGAGAATGAGTAAAAACTGTCTCAATGAGAAAGATGTGAAAAAGTAATCCAATACTGTTCTAGTCATTCACACAGCATTCCTGTGCTTTTTTCCAGTTATTAGACTGGCGGTTTATAATTAAAGAGGAGAATGAAGGCTGGGGACGTGGCTTAGTAGGATAAGGTTCAAGAAGCATGCATGAGGCCTAGCATCCAGCAGAAAGGAAAGGAAGTAAAGGGAAAGTGGGAGATGACAAAAAAGCGAAGAATGTAACCATAAATCTTTTATTCTTTAAGATTTTTAAATTTTTTGTGTGTGCAACTACACATGCAATGTGCAAATATTGGTATTGAAGCCCTTGAAGCTCGAGCTACAGGTTGAACAACCTAACTTGGGTGCTGGGAACCAAACTTGGGTCCTCTAGAAGGAGAGCAAGCGCTGTTAACCACAAAACCATCTCTGCAGTTCCAAAATAAAAAGTTGTAACAGAAAAAAAGTAGCACAGTATGTTGAGAGGCAGCCCTGGAATCAGGTTAATTAGGGCAAATCTGTCTGTTTCTTCATCTTTCAAATGGTTATAAAGAATATTTACTTTAAGGATTGCTAAATCCGTAGAAAAATACATAACACAATAAATGTGAATATTCTTTGCCAATCTGTCCGTATAACTGGCTCGTCTTTGATCGTGCGTGCGTGTGTACGTGTGTGTGTGTACGTGTGTGTGTGTGTGTGTGTGTGACTTTAAGGGGCTGCAGAGATGACTTGTCAATTAAGAGCAGTGGTTACTCTTCCAGAGGACCTGAGTTGACTTTCCAGCACCCACAGAAGGCCAAAACCACCCCAAACTCCAGTTCCTGGGGACCCAATGCCTCTAAGGTCACTACACAAACATGGTATACATTCATACATGTAGGCAAAATACTCATACACAAAGTAAAATAAATCTTTTTTAAAAATCAACTTTAAAAACATTCTTATACTGGCTATAAATCTAGAAATATTATATTTAGTACTATCCTCAAACACATACAATATAATTCAAACATGTACTTTTTAGCAAACACTTATTTTTTTAGATGTCTGACACATATGCTCTGAATACACAGAATGAAACCAAGGTAGACATTATGTTTGAGGATATAGTCTAATGGTGAACCGCATGCTCAGAATCCAAGTATCACAAACCAAAAACTAAATCAAGCACATTAATAGATTTGTATGACAAGCACAGCCAGATGTGGTGACAAATATCTATAATCCCAAGTGATGCAGTCCTGGAGATCAAATCCTTTATACCTATGACACTAACACTCTACCAACTGAGCTACATCCCCAGCCTAGAAGTGTTTTAATTGCAACGAGATACACATGACATACTATATAACTGTTTAGGTACTATATGACTTGACTTGTGGTAGTCTGAATGACAATGCCCTTCATGGGCTCAGATGTTTCAGTGTTGGTCCCCAAAATGGATGACAGTTGTTTGGGAGGTTTGAAGATGTGACCTTCCTGAAAGAAGTATGTCACTGGGGCAAGCTTTGAGGCTTCAAAAGCCCCTTGCCATTGCTAGTATGTTCTCTCAGCTCGCTGTTCCAGCCCCCATGTCTGCTGCTTCCCATCCACCATCATCGATTGTAAGACCTCTAGAACCATAAGCCCAAATAGATTCTTCTTCTTCCTTTTTCCTCCCCACCTTTGGTTTCTCTGAGACAATAGCCCTAGCTGTCCTAGAACTCGCTCTGTAGACCAGGCTGGCCTCAAACTCACAGAGATCCATCTGCCTCTGCCTCCCAAGCGCTGTGATTAAAGGTGCGCATCACCACCGCCCAGCCAAGATTCTCCTTTTTTTTTTTTTTTTAACACAGGGTTTCTCTGTATTGTTTTGGAGGCTGTCGGTCCAGCCCAGCCTCGAACTCACAGAGATCCACCTGCCTCTGCCTCCTGAGTGCTGGGATTAAAGGCGTGCGCCACCACCGCCTGGCGATTCTTCTTTCTTTATGTTGTTTTATCACTGCATTAGAAAAGTCACTAATACATGATTAAAATTATTTTTTGAGGTCAGGTGGTGGTGGCATATGCCTTTTAATTCCAGCTCTTAGGAGGCAGAAGCAAGAGGATCTCCTTGGGTTCAAGGCTAGCCTAGTATATTAAACAAGTTCCAGGAGAGTCAAATCTACACAGAGAAACCTTTTCTTGAAAAACAAAAAAGGAAAAATTATTTTGTATTTCTAACATTCAAGTATTTGTACTCAGGGTCAATATCACCTTGAGAATGCATGGTCCAAACACAAAGACCCACAGTCTAGATATGAAAGGTAACCATGAAAACCCCAAGTCATAGCTTTTAGACAGACAAGGAAAAAGCATGTCCTAGTTACTGTTGAGCAACAAATGAATTCAGTTTTGGATATGCTGAATTTGAGGAAGCTTAGATATCACGCTAGATACATTAGTCAGTGGAGACACAGGTCTGAAGCTTAGAGTCCATTTGCAAAGGAAGTAAATTAGGAAGGTAAAGATGACTGATGCTTAAGGGAAAAAAACAGTTAACAAGGGCTCTGTGCTACTGAGAAGTTGAGTAAGATGAGTACTGGAAAGTACACAACAGGCTGAGTGAACTGGGTACCACTGTAATCTTACCTGTTGACTGAGGTGAATAGAATAAATGTAAACCATGTAGACCCATCTGCTCATCTCCAAAATCTGTAAGAATAAGAATCAGGAGAAGAACATGTAGGTTGTTGATCTTATGAAACAAAAGTAAATACATTAACCCCCCCCCCCCAAAAAAAAACCTCATTCTTACCTGGTTCTGGCGTTAAGGCTGATGAAGTAAGTAAAATGAAAAATCCCCTATCTTCTAAGCATTTGATGATGGCCTAATTAAAAAAAATAAGAGGATTATTCAATCTCTTTACTTCTGGGAGAACTATTATAGACTGAGTAGGACTAACACTCATTTTTGAAAGGTAGGTTCCCATAAAGGTTTCTACTTGTCAGTGTCACCTATGCCATTTCCAGCTACTGAGGGATGTGCAGATTATACAAATCTTTCTAAGGAAACTAAAGTGATGGCCAGGAGGGGCTCTGCCTCTTCCTATTCATATGGAAAGGAAGCATGTGACCCTGACTGGCAGCCACAGGACAAAACTATCACACAGAAACTCATGTTATTTGCTTGCAACTCAGAGTATTTTAGCCAACACTATCATTAAGATAGGTCACTATCCCTACACACATGCATGCACGCATGGTCTGTTTTACTTTATTGATTTTTCTTTTTTAAAGATTTATTATATATTGTGTTCTGTCTACATGTACATCTGCATGCCAGAAGAGGGCACCAGATGGCTGTGATTGCTGAGAATTGAACATCCAAGACCTCAGGAAGAGCAGTCAGTGCCCTTAACCACTGAGCCATCTCTCCAGCCCATTTTTTAATGTCTATTGTAGGGACAGACAAGGCCTGATCTGCTTCATTCCTGTCCAACATTTGCATCATTTTCTTTGTAATATTTAGAAATTATTGGGCCAGGCATTGGTGGTGCATGCCTTTAATCCCAGCACTCGGGAGGCAGAGGCAGGAGGATCTCTGTGAGACCAGCCTGGTCTACAAGAGCTAGTTCCAGGACAGCCTCCAAAGCCACAGAGAAACCCTGTCTCGAAAAACGAAAAAAAAAAAAAATTTAGAAATTATTCATCATAAAAGCTAGTTTAGGGCTGGAGAGATGGCTCAGAGGTTAAGAGCACTGGCTGTTCTTCCAGAGGTTCTGAGTTCAATCCTGGCAACCACATGGTGGCTCACAACCATTTGTAATGAGATCTGGTGCCCCCTTCTGGTGTACAAACATACATGCAGGCAGAACACTGTATATATAATAAATAAATCTTTTTTTAAAAATTTAAAAAAAAAGGTAGCTCAAACTCTGGGTAAAGTATCTATTTCTATCTTCACCCCTGGCTAGCATGACAGAATTCTTTGAACCAGTAGCTATTCCTCAGTCTTATTGCCTCTATTATAGAAACGGAAGAAACAACTTTTTATAAACCCTGGATAATGGTAGCTTTCAAAGAAACATCTCAGAAGTAGCACTCTGACTAATGCAAACACACTAGCTATCTAATCAATGTATCAAAAAACAATAAAGACGATGAGAAAGAAAAAACTTTTTCTTTTAGTCAGAAATATAAACTGAATAATGAGACACAAAGGTTAAGCTGAGATGTAAAAAAATGAAAATGTCAGTTAAATTATGATGTCAGTATACATAACAGTGAAAACCCTCCCAATAAGCTAAATAATTCAGTGAACACTTAGGCATCAATTTCCCAGTTTAAGGAAAAAATAATTATATATGAAACTAGTGATTCTTACCAATTGCTTATTTTTAATGTATTCGGTTAGTTTATCTATGTTTTCCCCTTGTTTGTTTGACAGCTCCACTTCATATAAATCAAAGCATAAATCCTGGCAACAGACTGTAGAGGGAATCAGAAATACAGAACATTTTAAATTTTAATTAAAAAGTATTCTTTGACAATTCCATATGTATGTATTAAGTGTTTTGATCACATACACTTCCATTGCTCTCTCTTTAACACGTGAAAACATGTATGTATGTATGTGTGTTTGCATGCATGCATGCATGCATGTATGTATGTATATGTATGTACATAGTGTCTCACTGTCTTGATATGTTTTCCTGGCTGGCCTGGAACTTGCTATACAGACCAGGGTGACCTTGAACCCACAGAGACCTGTCTGCCTCTGCCTTAGAATTGGGATTAAAGGCAAGTGCTACCACAGCTTGCCTCAGAACATTTATTTGTTTGCTGAGACAGGGTTTCTTGGTATAGCCTTGGCTGTCCTAGAACTAACTCTGTAGACCAGGCTGGCCTCGAACTCAAAGAGATCTGCCTGACTCTGCCTCCTGAGTGCTGGGATTAAAGGCCTGCACCACCACTATCCAGGCAGAACTTTTATTTTTAACCTACTTAAAAAACAACTTTCACAATCTCAACCAAAAAAATGGATAAAGCAAACGTGGTATATTTACACAATGGAATATTAGCTGATAAAAATCAATGAGATCATGAAATTTGCTGGTGAACAGATGGAACTAAAAAATATCATCCTGACTGAGGGAAATAAAGATCAAGAAAGACAATTATGGTATGTACTCACTCATAAGTGGATATTAGCTATAAAGTAAAGGATAACTATGCTACAATCCAGACCCAGAGAAGTTATGTAATAAGGAGGGCTCAAAGGGGGACATGTGAGAGAAAAGGGGGAGAGAGGAGGGGAGGGAGGAAGGGGGAGAGGGAGAAGCAGGGAGGGAGGGGGGAGAAAAAAGGGGGGACAGATCTCCGAATTTGAGACAAGCCTGGTCTACATAGTGAGTTCCAGGACAATCAGAACTATCCTGTAAGATCTTGTCTCAAACAAAAACAAAAAAATTTCTCTCTTGTATTGCTACAAGATTAACAAAATAAATACTACGCAAAAACATCAGTGTTCCATGAACTAAAGGACCATTTTTTTCTCATATTTGTTTAATTTTTGCTTTTATTTTGAGAAAAAGATCTCATAATGTCACCCTGTCCATCTGCCTCTGCCTCCCAAATGCTGGTCTCATATTTGTTTTGAACTTAACAAGTACATAAGTTAAAAGTAAAAACTGTTGTACATGGGAGGAACGGGTCTGAGTTTTCAGCTATTTTTTTAAAGTACATTTGCTCAATTTTCTGAGCATTCTATATTAAAGATAAGTCTTTGTCATCTTAGATGAATCTGTCAGTTCTTCACTGGCTTCTAAGAAATGGAGAAAAGACCATTTTATAACCCACTTAAGATGAGCTTTAGGTGTGTGAGTGTCCGGATGACAGTGGACAATAACCGCAGGAAGCCCAGGATATGTAGTGTGCCATTACATTCCCACAGACCTTTCTGCTCCAAATAATTCTGTCTTCTAAAGGCAGCTTCTGGTAGGCTTTCTTTCAGAGAAGACACTTTCATTACATACTTAAAATCTAATTCCCGTGGCCTAGAAAAGAAAAATGCATCAAGCAGTATAATACAACCTCATCACTTTCTAACTCAAATGCAAACAAAAGTGTAACTATAGAAAAGTCCTTAAAGGGCTGGAGAAATGGCTTGGTTTTAAGAGTGTACTGCTCTTGTCGAGTTTGGTTACTAGCACCCACACTGGGCAGCTTATGACTCCCTCTTTTGGCCTCTACTGGTACCTGCACATGGTACCACACAAGGCATACACACACACCCACAAGACATACATATATATACACAATGTTTTAAAGTCCTTAAATTCCAGGTTAGGTAATTTACATATTTATATTTATAAACAGTATAGATTCTCACATACATGACCACAGATACTGTAGGAAGATTTTAGATACCTGTGCCACTAACCACGCCTTGAGCGTGGCTAGAGGCTCAGGTATCTAAAATCTCTCCCTACCAATTCCCCTTTTAGTCTAAAGAAGATATTTAAATTTAAAACAAAACTAAATTGTATCAATATACAAAATATAGGAAGTGTGTTGGAAGCTTCAGAATTTCATAAGAAATACCATGTTAATAGCAAAGGCTTAAAGAAGAATTTTTCTATCACTTGGCAACAAGCCAAGGACATAGTAAGAAACTGCCCCACCTGTTCATTCTATAATCCAACTCATTACCAGCAGGCAGTAATCCCAAAGGTATTCACAGAAATGAAATTTGGCAAATGGATGTATTTCACGTTCCAGAATTTGGAAATTTGAAATACGTTCACCACAACATAGACATGTTCTCAGGCTTCCAATGGGCTACTGCCCTCATTTCTGAAAAGGCTGATTCTGTTATCACATACCCCTTAGAGGTGATGGCTGTTATGGGTATACCTGCACAAATAAAAACTGACAATGCTCCAGCACATGTCTCCAGCAAATTGGAACAGTTTTTCAAATATTATAACATAAAACATGTAACTGGCATACCACACAATCCTACAGGACAAGCAGTGGTTGAGAGATCTAACCAAACCTTAAAAGAAATGCTTCATAAAGAGCCAGGGGGAACAAAGACCCCCAAACACAGATTACATAATGCTTTACTAACATTGAACTTTCTTAATGCTAATAAGAAAGGACAAACAGCTGTGGAAAGATACTGGAATACAGAAAAAACTTCTGAACTAAACCAACCAGTGTATTTCAAGGATGTTATGACCTCAGTTTGGAAACCAGGATATGTGTTAACGTTGGGGAAGGGGTTTCGCCTTTGTATCTGCAGGAGAAGAAAAGCTTTAGATTCCATCAAAATTAATCAAGATTCGATCTGAACAGGAGAAACCTCCAGAAGAGGAAAGATGACAGCTCATCCATAAGGTCATATTCTAGTATGCGTAAGGAAACCTTATAAAGGGAAAGAGAAGTGTTGTGATTTTGTCTCCACAGGAAAACCCATCTCCAAATAGTGAGAAGATACTGAACGTGTGGACACCTAACGAAGAGAGGACGGCTACCCAAAGAACCTTCAAACAAAGAAGAATCTACTGTTTGGTATCAATGTCTAATTCTCTTCATTTGTCTTTATAATATCTATTTCCTTTTACTTCCTAATACTCTTTTAGTCCCAATTCACTTAAACCAACACTGGCTTTGGAGCTGAATTGGCTCTCCCCTTCTAAAGCCAAGCATGTTGTTAAAATAAAATTCAGAATTTCTGTATTATATCAAGGAACCACTGACGTAAGACAAAACAAATCCAGGGACTGTCATCTGTTTATACTCGGTTCTTACTCTGAAAGTCTAAATTCCCTCACATTTACCGTCTTACTTATTGCTGCCATTCCCGGTATGCATACATATAAAAGTTAAAAATTCCTCTGTTAACATTAATGTTTGAGTTTTCCACAGAGAACAAGGAATTTTCCAACAGCAATCTTCAAAAACTTCGGAAATAAATTGGGGCCCTACTTCATCAACTCCACCTGATCTGACTTGATGCATGTGAACTGACAAGTACCATCCTGAAACCGATTTGGGACTGCATCGCTCTAACCAACTCCAGACCAATGAACTGATATGGTGCACCTTTTACATTCTGGCCAGAGCCTCAGACAAGAGCTTCACTCAAGATTAGAACTTCAGTCAAGAACTTCAATCAAGCATCTCCCGCCAAACAGAGACTGGGTACAAGTGCTGTAACCAGTGCACTCAAGACTTTCACTACACTAACCTTTTTCTTCCTACAGGATCCCGTGAGGTTGTTGTCGTCCCATCTCAGCAGGAAGTAGTTCTGAGAATACCATGCCCCCTTTGCCTACTGTTGACACTACATGGTAATTTATACCTGTTTAGAGTTAGTTTTCAATTATTTTAAGGTTGGGATTGGAAGGAGGTGTTCAAACTTGGGCATCTCTTTCAGATAAGCTTAGGTTTGGATGGAATAGATATGCTTAGGATGTGATATAGGTAGATTATTGTATCTTCTGGTAATTTATGTAAAGTCTTTCTATGCATAAATATTCTTATCAATTTCTATGTATATATGCTTTACATATGTTTGAGATATTTTGTATATTGACACAATCTAGTTTTAAGTTTAAATATCTTCTTTAGATTAAAAGGGGAATTGTAGGGAGATTTTAGATACCTGTGCTGCTGACCACACCCACTTTGGGCATGGCTAGAGGTGCATACAGATATGGAAATAAAAGGCTGTGCAGGAGAGACACACACTCTCTTACGGGCTTCCAGTCCAGTCTCGGAAAGCTGCTGACTCACTTGGGTTGCCAGTTTCTCTTGTAAGTACCTTCTACAATAAATAGATACCTATACCCTCATCAAGGGTGCAGTTTATTTTACAGCAACAGTATACAAACATGCTCACATTTTCTGAATACATGTTATTTCTGGCAGGGTAGAAATATCCAGATGTGTTTAAGAATTATGTATTCTGAAACTGAGAATTTTTAAAAATTATACTAAGCTGAAAAGTCTCTAAATATTGGGCTATACCATAGAATGTGTCATATATCTCTCCAATATTTTTTCTTGTTTCACAATTTATTTTGAAATGGTATCAGTAAAAACAGTACAAAAAATTTCTACCCTGCACTATATTTGCTTACACTCTATATGCTTTTGGTATTTCTTATTATTTTTGAGAGGCAAATCTGATGCCCTTTTAACTAGTGTTTCCCCCCCCAAATAATATTTCCTTGTACAACAAATTACCATCAAGAAATTCATAATGATAGATTACTATTACTTAGCTTACACCTTATCCATATTTTTGCAAAGATCCTTCAAAAACCAACTATCAGCTGGGCGTTGGTGGCACACGCCTTTAATCCCAGCACTCGGGAGGCAGAGGCAGGCGGATCTCTGTGAGTTCGAGGCCAGCCTGGTCTACAAAGTGAGTTCCAGGACAGCCTCCAAAGCTACAGAGAAACCCTGTCTTGAAAAACCATAAAAAAAAAAAAAACAAAAACCAAAAAACAACTATCAGTAACAAAAACAGATTGAGCAAATTGCATATATAATCTACCTATATCCCATCTTAAGCATATGAATTCTGATAGAAATAAGTTCTCATATGCCAACTAAATTATGTCTATACTTCAGTGGTATGGAGTAAAAAGTATGAACAGGCCAAACAAAAAGATTTCTTAAGATGACCTCCATAGCTACCCAGGAGAGAGAAAAAAAACCTTAATTAACATAATTCAACATATTAAAAACAGATTTAACAGCTGCTTTTAGTATCAGATACTGTAAATCTTAATGAAGAATCAATAATAGAACTGAGAAGCTATAATTTGTTGTATTGCTCTCTGGACAAATCTGATTTGTTTTAGAGAAAAGGTAAACTTCTAATATAAAATAATTTAGTCAGGCATGGTAACAAATTCATGGAGTCCCAGTTATTCAGGAAGTTGAAGTGGGAGGGAGGATCACTTGAGCCTATAAAATCCAAACCAGCCTGGGCAATACAGCAAGACCACATTTCAACTATAAGAGAAATATTATTTTCCCTTTAAGGTACAGAATTTAGGTCACCTGTGTACTTGTATTCTATACACTCAATCAAATGTATTCTAACATAAAACCAAGTAAAATATATTTCACACCAATGTGACCTTGAAATGAGTACCCAGCATTGGAAAAACAAAACATGCATTAAGGATGACATCAAATATAATACTTACAGTTGTACTGGGATTACTGTGCCATAAGTAGACCGAAGAGTTATATCACACTGCAAACAACCCTGAATAATTAATTGTCCTTTCCATGGAGAGATGAGAGCTTTAAGAAATGAGAACAGAAAGAAGCTGACTATTTTGTGAAACTTTTACTAAAACAACAACAAAAACTACAAGAACTAATTGACTTCTTACCATTGTGAGTGAGTTCAAGTCTAGAAAGAAACAAAAAGAATATTTTTATTAGAGGAAGAGAAACAAACCAAGTAAACAAAGTACACAGGTAATTACTCACAAGCTTTTATAAGTGGGTGTTGCCATCTTTTTGGTTCCCAGTACTGAAAAGCTACAATTATATAAGGAAGGGTCCGTCTGGGTCATTTAATAACAGTGTTGCCTAAACATTCATAGAGGTAATTCTGAAAGAAGGAAAAAATGTATTATTAGTACTATGGAAGTGCATATGAATTAAGTTTACCCCAACCCTAGCCAAACCTGAAATTTAGGACATAAGGTTAAGAAATATTTTTTAAGGTATAATTTATTCATAGTGACTATACCTGACTTAGTTCGAAGGCACAAAAATGACTTCTTTTGTAAGAAAATGTGTAGGTATCTGCAGCCACATGACAAACATAGCCAGAAGATTGCCTAAGGTAGTTACCTGTATAATTCTCAGACACAAACTTGATTTTTCCCTAAAATAAAAACATTAAGACTCATCAGATGTTTTCAAATAACAAAAGCCTTAACAGTAGGCTTCATTTTAAAAGAAGTCCAATAGGGATATAGATTTTTTTTTCACCAACAACCAAAATAGAATTTATGCTTCTTAGAAAAAAAATCATCTTAGTGTCACCCATAAGCACTTTAAAAAATAGCTGTGCTTGGGTATCTTTCTGAGGTTTTCATCACAGCATCAAAGGAATACATGATCAGACCAATTATCTTCTTTTTTCTTTCTTTCTGGTTTTTCGAGACAGGGTTTCTCTGTGTGACATCTCTGGCTGTCCTGGTACTCATTCTGTAGACCAGGCTGGTCTCAAACTCAGAGATCCACCTGCCTCTGCCTCCCAAATTCTGGGATTAAAGGTGTGTGCCACTACCACCTGGCTAGACCAATTATCTTTAATGAAACTTCACTAAATGCTATGTAGTAAATACAATAAAGAATGACAAATGAAATCTAAATGACCAAAATAGGAGAAATAGTAATTACAAAATTATTAAAGTATTAATGAACTGCAAATTATTCCAGTGTCCAGAAAGTCTTCAAGGGGAGACATGTAATAAAATGAATCACAGGCACATGTCCTTGGCCACTGAATGATAAACAGTATTTCCCGTGACAGGCTCAATGAAGAATTAAAAATCAAGTTTACTAGAGCTAGGAGAATAAGTAACAGAGTACTTGCCTAATGTGGGCAAATATGGGCAAGGCCTTAGTTTTGATTTCTAGCAAAAGGAAAAAAAAAAAGTCAAGTTTTAACATATGATGAAATGCCATAGAATGATTAAGTGTTAAGGGGGCAGGGGCTCACAAGTTTGCACTAGTAGCTGAGGAGCTACCGACAGTTGATGGCTTCTGGGGGAGGGAGAGTTCTCTTCAAGGATATAGTCCTAACATGTCCACCACACTCCAGGTAGGTGACACCACTCTTATGGTTATATGGACAGCACAAATTGGATGAGGTAGGTTACTTAGGGAAAAAAAGGACAAGAAGTTGAGAAGGGCCGGGTGGTGGTGGCACACGCCTTTAATCCCAGCACTGGGGAGGCAGAGGCAGGTGGATCTCTGTGAGTTCGAGGCCAGGATAGGCTCCAAAGCTACAAGAGAAACCCTCTCTCAAAAAAAAAAAAAAAAAAAAAGAGGTTGAGAGGGGTTGCGGAATGGGAGATGAGATGAATCTGAGAGGAATTAAGAGGAGTAAATATCAAAATACATTATATGAATTTTATGAATAGTAATCGCCAAGGGATTAATAAAAATATTATAATAAATTAAAGATCAGGGGCTGGCTCAAATGATTAAGAACATTGGCTACTCTTCTAAAGGACCTGCGTTTAATTCCCAGGACCAAATGATGGCTACTAACTATAACTCTAGTTCCAGGGAATCTGAAACCCTCTTCTGGCCTCCTTCAGCACCAGGCATGCATACAATATACAGGTACATGTATAGCAAAACATTCATACACAAAATAAAAACAAGTCTGTACACTGTATGGCTCTATTTTACATAAAGATCTACAATAGACAGATCCAAAAAGGTGGAAAATAGACTAGTTGACTGGGTTGGTGACTTAAAGGGTCTAAGATAATTACAGTGATTGTGTCACAAATGTGACTACATGAGAATAACACACATGTTAGACCATATAGTTAAATGGGTGAATACTACTGTACAGGAAATATTGCAAGGTACTTTAAAAACCAAAATCACCATGAATCTAGCCAGCATGCATAACAATCCGTTTTAGTCCTCACAGTTACACTTTGTTTTACCTAGCAGTGCTAAATACCCTCTTCTTGAGTTCCTGCTGCTTTGGGCTGCAAATACTCCTCCACTTCTCCATTACCTAGTTCCATGGATATCCCAAACATTTCTGGCCATCTACTCCTTCTATATATCCCACATAATGATGTCTTGGCTTCAACTAATACCCCAACTCTGGTTTGGGTGGATCCCCTCCTAAACTGCTATCACTACAAGGCTGTTTCAGAAACATGAAAGGCTGAGTAGTTCTCTAATTCATGAAAGTAGTATCTATCCACTTACTGAGAAATTACTAAGTACAAGTTCCTTGGGTAAGTACTTTAAATGTCATTTAATCCTCAAAGTTACCTACTTTTCCAATGAGGAAAAAAAAACCCAAAACATAAAACTTTTGATGCTAACCATGTTTTTAATTATTGCCTATTTATCTCCCTGAGTTCTTCAGCATCCCTGTCAATCTTCTCGCCTCCTTTCCACTCAGGGTACCACTACAGTATGCTGAAAGTATTTTATTCTCTCTTACCATTCCACAGTTGTCAAGTTTGCTCAGATCTACCCTTTCTATTCTAACATCATTACAAAGGTATAAGAGTCTTACTAAAGTACCAATCTCTTGGCACTGAAAAATACTGTTTTGGATTCAAAATTCAATTACATCTAAACTTCTAATTGAATATTATGACCTGCATAACACTAATGAATCTGGCTTTTATTCTAGCCATCTCAGAGAAATAACGAAACTTCACTTCATTTTGCACGAGAGGAGATTCACTTTTCTCAGACCTGTATCTGGCTGGACTGCTCAGTGTGTTAAGAACACTCAAACAACACATGTTGACATGCCAATTTTGCCTTTTAACAATGGAACTATTTTGCTTATTATAAATCTTAAAATGAAAATTATTAATCCTAAATACTCTATAAAGGAAAATACAATCTGATCAATGTATATTCACAGCTCAAAATAAACTAATGTAGAATAAAATTATATTTACAAATTATGACTTTTTCATCTGACTGCAATTGCTTATATTTGGATTCAATATTCAACTTTAAAAATAAATGTAAGCTACCTTTATTTTTCAGGTGTATATTTGTGGAGGGCAACTGGAAGGAGTTGGTTCTCTCTTTCTATCACGTGGGTTTGAGGTCAAACTCAGACTTTCTGAGCTATCTTGCCCCCTCCTCCTTGATTTGTGATACAGGGTCCCTTTCATTCTGTAGCCCCAGCTGGCCTTGAACTTGTAGCAGTCTTTCTGTCTCAGCCTAAGTGCAACATTCAACTTTTGAAGATTGTTTTTAATATTGTCAAAATTTGTTCTACAAAGTTTCTGATTATCAGGTTGATACTTACAATTCTTAAAATACTATTTTTGTTTTGTCATGATGTACAAAAGGTAAATAAATTGTTCAAGATCACACATAATTTTGATTAAAATTATTTTGAAATGTTAAGTGGTATGCATTCATCCTCTCACTCTCTTTTGTGATACTGGGGAATCCAACATGCTAAATGCTCCACTACTGAGCCACACCCCCAAGTCTTATGGTGACATCCATATAAACCCAGTGACCAACGTTCTAACTTATCAAATCGGGTTTATGAATTTGTGCTTTAGTGGTAAACTATTAATTTTCAATGAAAGATTGCACCAAACTCATTGTTATGTTGAGTACCTTCCAAAAAGATATTAAGTCATTTTTCTCTTAGAAGAAAATCTAAAAAAATTTGAGACTATTAATTTTTTCTGTGACGATTACATTTTTAAATCCATCTTTGCTTTTCTCGATCATTTTATATTACAAAGCAAGTGGCAAAACTAAGAATTTTTAAAACTGCTTTCACCACTAGATATATTTACCCCAAATGCTCTGAGCACAAAGTAGGGGGTTTCCACAGAGGTGAAATAGATCCTGTAACAAATAAACTAGGCCTTAAGAACTGGGGTCAAGTATTTCTTCTCCTAACGAGGGAGCAGCTGTAGATTAAAGGGTGTATCTCATCAAGCAATAGTGCACTGACTATTAGCAAGGGATTCAGTTCTCCAATTAATGGTATTACATCTTATTAAGGGAAAACAGAAAGTATACCCTAGGTACATTTCTTATGACAAAAGCAGTAATTAAAGCAGAAGCCAATTTAAAAAGACAAGAAAAGAATATTTACTATGCAGATAATGAAAGATAATAACACATTAAGACAGCAGAATAAAAAAACAAAACAAAAAACAAAAATCACATTTAAGAGCCATTTAATAGCCAAAAAGCATTAAAACATCTTCAATTTACGAACTTAAAAAAAGCCAAATCATTTCATGAAAGATAAAACCACATTACAATGACACAGTAGAATGCTAAAGACAACATATATATTGCAGTCAGAGGAAAAGAAACCCAAAGACTAGCTGGGCAGTGGTGGCACACACCTTTAATCCCAGCACTCAGGAGGCAGAGGCAGGCCATCTCTGTGAGTTCAAGACCAGCCAGGTCTACAAGAGCTAGTTCCAGGACAGCCTCCGAAGTCACAGAGAAACCCTGCATCAAACTCTCCCCGCCTCCAAAAAAGAAAAGAAACCCAAAGACTAATGGGTGAGTTAGTAGCAATAATGGAAGCCAAAGACAGAAATGAGGCTATCCAAGAACATATAAGAAGTATTCAAAACTAACATTCTAAAAGACAATTATCAAAGTACAATGTTTATATTCAGCAAAAACATTTTCCAAAAAGTTTATCATCATCATCAAAAAAACAAAAAAAAACTTTTAATAAGAGCATCTACAAAGGAAGTAACTTTAACCACAAGGAAGATACCTCCAGATTGAAAACCACAGTAATGAATGGAGAGCATAGTAGAAATGTGGGAAATAATAAGAACTGGCTATAAAACCCAATAATTATAAACAGGCTTCTGGCTATCTGCTAATAATTGTAAAAAGAGTTCTATTACATGACAACAAATAGAATATAAATCATAAAGAGAGTAAATGAAGTGAACAATTCTAAGACAGATGTAAAAAATAGATTAGAAGATCTTAACATTAGAAACATAGGGTAGGGCAAACAAAATACAAAGAACAACTACATTAAATGCAAATAAATTATAATGGTCTGCCCCTAAAGATATTTAAAACTGCTTTAAAAAAACAAAATTCAGTCAGCAGAGAGATGATTCAGTGGTTAAGGAGATATATTGCCCTTAAGAGGCCCCAAATTCAGCTCCTAGCACCCACATTGGGTAACTCACAACCTCCTGTAGCTCCAGAACCAGGATCCAACACCCTCTTCTGGTCTTCACATACCCTCACTCACACGGACACACATAAAACTTAAACATGAAGTCTTAAAAAAAAAATTCCCAACCAGGTATGATGGAACATACTTGTAATCCCAGAAATTGGAAGACTGAGATCATAGAGCAGCCTAAACTACAGGGAAGAAGGGAGGGAGGGAGGGAGGGAGGGAGGAAATTCTAACATAACAGATACTGTTTTACTAATTAGTGGTACTTCGAATTGAATCTGGGTAGCAAACATACTAGGCATATGTTCCATCACTCAATATTTACAGCCCTTCCGTATACCCTTTTAAGCAATTACTTGAGATACAGAAGTATGGGGTTGGGGATATTGCTCATTTGTAGCAAATATACAAGTGTGTATACCATCTAGTTATTTCAAAATTGAGAAATTTAAATAAACATATTTTTCACTGGTAAGATTAATAAAAATGATTAATTTAGAAGATGAATCAAAACAAGTTGGTCAGTAAGAGATAGTAATATTAAAATTAAAAAAGGAAATGTAAAAAAGCAAGACATTTCAATAGTAAGAGAGTAACTCTAATGATAAATATTAAAACAAAGTCCTAGAAAATTCAAATTTACCAAATATGACATCCTGAATTAATTTTAAAAAAATCTGAGTAACCCTTAACCACTAAAGACATTAAATCAATAGCCTAACATCTGCCACCAACAAAACTGTAGGCTCAAGTGAATTCAATGACAAATGTTTATGGCAGTGGTGATTAGGAGCAGTTTGGTGATGGGAAATGTGGTTATGAACAGAATATATTCTTACAATAAACTGTATCTTGAAGGAAAGTAGTTATAAGCAAAGGTTCTCAAAGTGGTGATGATTATGCTAATCATCTCTCTTTCTGTCTCTCTCTCTCTCTCTCTCTCTCACACACACACACACACACACACACACAGAGAGAGAGAGAGAGAGAGAGAGAGAGAGAGAGAGAGAGAGAGAGAGAGAGAGAGAGATTAACACTAGTCATCATTTGGAAGACCTGCACAATTTAGGGAACCAGTATTTTCCCAAATGACTAATGCAAGCCCTTTAAAGTGCAAACTAGATAAATGCATTTCAACAAGTTTATTCATAAGGTTTCAAATTTACACTGTAGGAAACTTTTAAGAAACTATTTTCAAAATTGATGAATACCAAAGGAAACACAACTACCTGAAAATATTGCTAAAATGTCCCTCCTTTTTAAAACACTTAGCTAGCCAAGGGTAGACTATTTTGCCATATACTTCAACTATAACAATCTATTACAACAGACTAAGTGCAGAAGTAATACTTGAGCATTTAAAGGTGACATGAAGCTATTTGCAAAAACATAATACAATGCCACTCTCATCAACAATTTTTTGGAAGGGAAATAGCTATTTTTCATTAAAAACATTACTTAAGTCAAGATGTAATTGGTTCAGTTTTTAAAGATACCAAAAGTATGTCTGAAAGTAATCAGTTTAACATTTAATGTAGTAATTATCAACAAATATAACTGGAGTGTGAAATAGTTTTAGAACTATAAAGAAGTTGACTAGGGAAGTAGAAGTGTACTTGCCTAGCATACACAAAGCCCTGCCTCAATCCCTAGCACTGCTTAAATCCAACATGGCAGTGTGTCTGTAATCCCAACATTTAAGAGAAGGCAGCAAAAAAATCAAGAGTTCAAATCCAGCCTTTGTTACATACCAAGTTCAAAGCTAGCCTAGGCTACAGTTTAAAAAAAAAAAAAAGAAAGAAAGAAAATGTGTAAAAGAGCATGGACACATGCTATAACATAAATCATGGAACATAAAACAAAGTATGAATCTCTTTAAGTTCAAAACAGGTGAATAATTGTTGGATAATCAAATAAAGGCAGTTCAAGGAATACTTTCCTTCTAGAACAGATACAAACCTTTTCTAAGGTACCTGTAGTACTCTACTAAGCAAGGTACAGAGACAGCCTGCTTGCTTTTTTTGTAAATACATTTTTCACACATAATAAAAATCTATTCTCTTAGAAGGGAAAAATCAAAACAATGTCTTTTCTTAAAGGAATCTATAAATGCAATATTTCAATGAAAACACAAATATTCCAGTGAGACTTTCTATAGAAATTGAGATGATTCATCTGGAAGAAAAAAAAAAAAGAATTCAGAGCTTCCCCTGGTTTCCCAAAAGACAATGTACCAATGTATATTATAAAGCTATCATAACTAAAACAGTATGGTAACTGCTAAACAGGTCAAAGAAGAATGTTCAGATCTAAGGTCATCAACAAGGGATAATGGATTGTCATGTCCCAAATGTTTGACTTTCTCACTAGTAATGATTAAAAATTAAAATGAGAATTTTTAAACTATTAGATGAGTTAAGATGTTTAAAAAACATGGTTACCATCCAGTGTTGCCTAGCAGTAATGAAAACCATACTTAAGGGGAAATGAAAATTTAAAAATACAATCACCCCCAGGGCATTTAACAGACTGCCTAGCATTCTCATAAGAATTTGATTCTACAGAAATATCAGGAGCACCAAAACCTGTTTATAACAGCTGCAGGTGGAGGGAAAACACAGCTCTACAGCATTGTTATAAGAAAATCTTAATATGTTCCCTGATGAGACACAAAGGATAAACACGTCTAAATTCATACTAAATAAATACACTATGGGTAACAAATATCAGGCAAGTTTCCCGGCAGTTTTCAAATTTCAATTTATTTAAACAAATGTTTGGGCTAGAAGAGATGCCTGTCATTTATCTTTTCTAAATAAAAGAATGTAATAGTTAGGAAATGTATTGACAACAAATGTCAAACATCATCTTCCTTAAAACAATAATTACAAATACTTGGTTATCTTTTTACTTTTTCTAACTTGGACTCACTAGGTATTGAAACACAGGTGACAATGGAGCTACGCTTTATTACAGGACCATTTTCCAATAGAAAAGCATTCTCTTACACTATCAGGTGTATATGCTTTGTACTAAACCTCTTAGGTACGATTTCCAACAATCTCAGATGCAATACTATCACATACGCAGCAGTCTTCTTTTTGCTTTCTCAGGGGAACACTCAGTCCTCAGGTCATTTGTATTATACAAGTTTAGGAAAGAGTTTCATTAACTTTCCTATTCTAATTTGACCTTCAGAGAGAATACAGGCTAGAGTTGTTTAAAGTTAGGCATTTCAAATAACTAAATCCCGATTAAGAGAAACTCGAAAACTTCCAATCTCCGATTTTGAAGTTCGGCTACGTTTTCCTACCAAGTGGTTGGTACCGTCTTCTAATCAACTTCGGGACCAACCCACTGCAGTATTCCTTCAACGTTTACTCCAGCCGGCTGCTGACTTCCATATGGGTAGCCCATTTACACATAATAAATAAGTAATGCCACGTGTGGCCTTGGATTCTACAGAATTCACAAACATGAGCTGAGGGTTGCCCTCAGAAACCTGGGGAACGAGCTAGCCCATCTTCAGTGTCGGCTTTATCGCATCCCTTGATAACGGAGCTGACCTGTGACAGGCGACCCAAACCAAAACTCTCCGGAGTCTTCCCGCCCCAAAGTGCAGAGACGACCTCCCAAGCCCTCCGAGGGCTCGCACCGTGACTACCTTCTCCAAGCTGGAGCAAGTAAATGAGCGCGGCTCCCAGTCCTGGGCTACCGAGGCATCTGCCCGCTGGCCCCCGAGCGCCGCCCGCCCCACCCGCTAGCCCTCGGTCACCGCGCGTGCCCCTCACGCGCCGCGGGAGCCGCGTGCGTCCTTCCCCACGGCTGCCTATGGAAGTCCTCGCCCGAGACGCCCCGGCACCCGAGGGAGCGATACCTGTCCCCGGCGCGGCCGCCTTTCCTGAGGAGTCGAGCTCACCGCTCAGTGTCCTTCCCATGCTTTTCCAGCCCGTCCCTTTCTCCTCCTGGCCCTTCGTCCTGCCGCGTCTCCCGATCTTCTCCTCACAAACCCGGGCCCCGCGGCGGCGCGCGCCCCGGTCCCCCAGCCTCACAGGCGGGTAAGCAGCCTCGGAACAATCCTGGCGCTGGGAACCAGCCGCGTCGCTAACCCCGGGGCACCAGCCACCGGAAGTAAAACCTCGTGGCCCTAGGCAAAGGGGAGGGGGTTAGAAAGACAGAAAGTGAAAACTCAAGCTTCGTGGTCCCGTAATAGACGGGAGCCAATCACGAGGAGGACGCCAAGGCGCAGGCGCGACCGCCGGCGGCGTCCACGTTGCGCTGGCTTTTCTTCTATGCGCAGCTGCGGGGGCCAAAGCTCGTTTCGGATTGGAAGACCAAGCCAGTTCCGTGGCTTCTCGGGGACGTATGCAGCCGGATATGGAAGGCGTGCACAGGAAGCGAGGATCCTGTCAGTGTCTCGTGGGTTGCTTGTGCAATCTCAGATGTGAATATGTGCAAATTACAAGAAATATATATGCATAAACACAGGCACACCTTAATGACCTTCCTTAGTCACCATTCTATTGCCACGACCAAGGCAACTCTTACAAGAGAAAGCATTTAATTGGGCGCTTGCTTACAGTTTCAGAGGTTTAGTCCATTGTCAGAACCTGTCAACCTTTTCGAACATGCCTGAAAAGAGAAGTGAGGATTGAGAAAAGAGACAATAGACAAGAAATAGAGTTGGGAGGGCTTTCAATGAATAATGAAATAGCCTCAAGTTTATTTTTCCTAGCCTTTTACCCCAAACGAAAGGGGAGGACAATAGATTTCAGCCGGGCGGTGGTGGCGCACACCTTTAATCCCAGCACTCGGGAGGCAGAGGCAGGCGGATCTCTGAGTTCGAGACCAGCCTGATCTACAAGAGCTAGTTCCAGGACAGCCTCCAAAGCCACATAGAAACCCTGTCTAAAAAAAAAAAAGGCTTCCATGATGCAAAGCGCAAGCAAACAGTAAGCATAGTTACTTTCCCAATACCCAAAACATCTAGTCACCATGCCCTAAGTCAAACATTCTGTTTGGTCTAGAGGGCCAAGACATCCAGTGGCTACACCTTAGGCCAAACATCCTATTGTTAGGTATCAGGGTCAAAGCATCCAATAGCCATACCTTTAGCCAAAACATCCTGTTGTTTTAACCTTGGAGGAGCAAGAATAGGTTTGAACTCTTCTGACCTTAGGTCAACATGGAACTGAATCAAATCTGTGGGCCCCCACAGTCCGTTATCATCATGGTAGAGAGCATGGTGGCATGCAGGCAGGTGCTGGAGCAGTAGCCGAGAGCTACATCATCTCATAATCATTAGACAGGGGGGGGGGATTGTTGAAACCTCAAAACCCACTCCTAATGACACACTTCCACCAATAAGTCCACACCTCCTATTCCTTTTAATCCTTGCAAATAGTGCCACTCTGTGGTGACTAAGCATTCAAATATATGAGCCTATGGGGGCATTCTTACTCACAGCACATGAACCCATTATTTTGTATGATAGCTAAACCATTCATAAAAGAGGGGGAAATTAGAAAGAGAATGACTTTTTAGTTAAGAAGGCCTCCTGGTATAGAAAGTAAGTCCCTATTACTAAAGACACCACACACTTCAGCCGCAGGACCCAGAGGCCCCTGAGCTGGAACGGACCTGAATGCTTCCAAAAGAGGGAATCAACCAACACTCTTACCCAGCTAAGACACCTATGAACCAACAATGACCAACATGACACAATAATCCTTAGGGTACAATAGTGGCACACATACTTTGGTAGTGACCAACATCTCTTTAATTGGATTTAAGACCTGCGCAATAAGAGAGCAATCATGCCTGGTACTGGGAATCTAGCTAATTAGCCAGGACTAGTGATATCATGGATCTTGGAGAACTGTAACCACCACTTTACCAGCCCAAACCCAAACTATATTCTAAATATTTATTCTTATGTTCACAGATAATTGTAGTCCTCATCCCACATCAGGGAAACTTCTCTTTGTAACTGACAGAGACCATTACAGAAAACCACAGCCAATCAAAACACAGAATTGTGAGGCCCAGTCTCAATGGATACATCTACAAAACAATAATTATCACCTAAGACTCATGGACCATAGAAGAGTGGGTAGAACGATTGTAGACCTAACATGAATGGGAGAAATCCCAGGAGGCCTCACACCTACAAAAAGCACTACAGGTAGCCAAATAAGACTGAAATATGGAGAAACTGTTTTCCCCTGGAAAGAGCACACTAATTAGTTATCCAATATTAAAAATGGTCGTCCCTGAAAACATACAAGTAACATTTTACAAACTGGGCAGCTTGTGCTTGTATTTAAGAGTGTGTGTGTGTGTGTGTTTATATATGTATGTAACACAATGAAAAAAGACATTGACTTGACAAAGAGCAAAGAGAAGTATAGGGAAGGGTTTGAAGGAGGAAAGGGAAGGGGGAAATTATCTAATCATATTAGTCTCCAAAATATAAATGTAACAATTTTTAAAAAGATGGCCTCCTGGGGGTCTGGAGGACCCAGGTTCTATTTCAAGCATCCACATGGCAAGTCATAACTTTATAACTCCAATTCTAAGAGATCTGATGCTCTGTTCTCGATTTCAAGGGCACCAGGTACACAAGTAATATACAGCTATACATGCAGGCAAAACATATACATAAAAGTTTTTAAAAATTAAGGTCTCCTGTTATGCTACCTAGCACAATTCCAAGTATGTCTACAGCAAAATAAAGCATAACCACAAAAATTTGTTCAGTGCAAAGAATATGGCTGGTGTGTGATTATCACATTACTGGAAAGTATCAGAGATAGGTAAAGTAGACAGGTAGACTGTCTCAAACTATAGGGTAAGAATCAGTCCTTATAGCTTAGGAATGGATTGCTCATTTCTCTTACAAAGAAAAAAAAACAGTCTAGTATTGACTTAGTCATGTGGTTATTAGTAATCATTCTTATGCAGATATATAAGAGAAAGGAGCAAGCTGGACAAAGAAGAGTGAAAAATGTGCAGTTTGAGGAAAAGGGGAGCACCTGGAAGTATTTGTCTGGAGCCAAGTACAGTGATCAAAGAGACAAAAGGCTTACAGAAAAGCCTGATTCTAAATAGAAGGAAGGGAGTGCTGATCTCAGGGTAAGACCCCACCCAGCCAAGCTTCCAACTTGTGAAAGTAATTCAATGAAAGCTTAAGCAGTGAAGGAAACCATTAAAAACAAAAAGCTCATGCAAATGCACCTGAAGGAGGGAGCCAAGTTCCAGCCCCATCAAGCAGTAGAACTTGGCAGCTATGGGGTAGGGACACTTAGGTGGTTCTGGCTTTACAGTCAAGGATACAAAAAAGGGATTATGGAGTTTCCCTTTGTAGCTAAGGAAAGCTGCTCAGGCCAGGCCAGGCCAGGGGTGTTCCTGCATGGAGGCCCAGAGAGGTTAGCATATAAAACTCTGAAGGTGGATACTAGATTATCTTGGAGAGCCCAAGATGTTGGAGATGCCAGAGTCATGGATACCTGTCAAGGAAAGTTGCAGATGGGGTATGGAACCAGCACAGGAGAGAAAAACACGTTGCAGTTGAAGATCTGAAAGGATATGAAAGGAGTTGGAGATCTGAGGTGCCCTTTGACATCAGAAATGGAGATACAGAACTTGGAGATTGCCTTGCTGAGTTTTAGAGTTGCTTTGGTTCAGTATTTCCTCACCATACTTTCTTCCCTTCATGTTTGAATAGTAATGTATATTCTGCGCCACAGCATGTTGGAAGTATGTGATCTGCTTCTGGTTTTGATTTTGTAGGCACTTCTGGTTAAGAGATTGCCATGAGTTTCAGAAGAGACTTTGAACTTTTAAACAGTATTGAGACTGTGCTAGACTGTGGGGAACTTTTGAAGCTGGACTGAATGCAAGCCTATGGGGACCAGGGATTGGAATATGGTGGTTTGAATAATGCCCCACCCAGGGCTCATATATTTGAATGTCTAGTCACCAGGGAGTAGGACTCAGTGATGGGATTAGAAAGATTAGGGGGTTTGGCCTTTTGGGAGGAAGGGTGTAAGTGGGGGTGGGTTTTGAGGTTTCAAAGAGCCCCCTCTCTCTCTGCCTAAAGATTATGATATGATGTAGCTCTCAGCTACTGCTCCAACAACCTATCTACATGCCACCATGATCTCTGCCATGATGATAATGGACTAAACCTCTGAAATTGTAAGCAACCTCCCCAATTAACTGCTTTCTCTTATAAGAGTTGCCTTGGTCATTATGTCTGTTCATAGAAATAAAACAGTGACAAAGATACAGGAATAAAAAACATTCTAAGGAACTACTATGAACAATGCTTGGCAACAAATTAGGTAAATTGGATAGGCACATTTTGAAAAAGGAACAAATTGCTAAAACTGACCCAAGAAGAAATAGAAATGTATGCTAGCGCCGGGCGTTGGTGGTGCACGCCTTTAATCCCAGCACTGGGGAGGCAGAGGCAGGCAGATCTCTGTGAGTTCGAGACCAGCCTGGACTACCAAGTGAGTTCCAGAACAGCCTCCAAAGCCACAGAGAAACCCTGTCTCGAAAAAACCAAAAAAAAAAAAAAAAAAAAAAGAAATGTAGGCTAGCAAGATGACCCAGTGAACTAAGGCACTTGTCTCTAAACCTAACAGTCTGAGTTCACATCTCAGGACCCATATTGTGGAAAGTGAGAACTGGCTCTTACTAGTTGTCCTCTGATGTTTACACACATGATTATCATAAATTTAATTTCAATTAAAAAAGCAATAGAATATGTAAATAAGCATTTCTCAAGTAGGTTTAAGTCAGTTATTGAAAAGTTTGCAGCTGGGATACTAGGAGAATACTGGTAAAAGGAAGTCAGATAGTGAGTTTCCATCCAGATGCCATGTAGCTGCCAATGGAGTAAGAGGTCCAGGAATCACTGGTAAGTCAAGACCATGTGGAGACACATAGATTAATAAAAATGGGTTAATAATTGAAAGAGAGAGCTAGCCAATAAGAATCCTGAGCCATCTGCCAAACAGTTTATAATTAATATAAGCCTCTCTGTATTTGGGACTAAAAGGCTGTGGGACCAGACAGGACAGAAACTTCTGTCTACATGTGGCACCCAAATGTTTGGCAAGAATTTCCACATAAAACTTGATAAAAGCTTTAAAAAAACGTTCTGAACACACAGAAACTGCACTGCACTGGACTTCCTAGTCTCACAG